CAGGAGGAGGAGGAGGAGGAGGAGGAGGAGGAGGAGGAGGAGGAGAAAGAGAGTAGGTAACCTTCACTTTTGGTTTGTCTACGTCCCCTAGTCTTTGTCTCAACCAATCAAGATCAGGTTGCAAAGTTTTAGTTGTCTGCGGGAAGTGGTGAGAAGAGAAGAGAAGAGAAGAGAAGAGAAGAGAAGAGAAGAGATAAGATGGGATGAGATTGAAGGTACAATGAGGAAAGATTCCAAGCAACATTATCAATGTCAAGTGATGGAGATAACCAGCAGGAGAACAATCAGAAAAGAGTTGGAGACAACTGAGATGCTGACACAGGTAGCGATGGAGAGCGAGGAGGAGACAGAGATTGGAAGTGCTAATAACGGAGAAATTCATGTGGGTAGGTGGCAACAAGGACGCAGCAGACAGCAGCAGACTAACAGGAGCGAGCTCGATCCTTGCCCCTGTCATCTGCAGCGCCATCAAGTGGTTGAAGTAGTATGGGATCAGCAGCAATGATGTGTCTCCTTCATCCAGCAGCGTTAGCACGACGTTCATGTACGCCTGCGACATACACATTCAGCCTCCCTCCCCCCCCCCCCTCCCCCTCCCTCCTCCTCGGGCTTATGTCAGTGTCATCCCACATCGTATTCATCGATTGCACACGCTCTCCTCTGATCGTTGCTCCTCTGCATAGTTCAATGTCTGCCCTCGCTTCCTCCTCTACCCATCAACCTCTCATGGACCATACAGCTGCCCTCCGCTGTAATACTGTTGTCTACAGTCCTTTCCTTATCTCCTCCTCCTCCCCGCTCCTCCTCCTCACTCCTCCTCCTCACTCCTCCTCATTCTGACCTGATTCGACCCCGCCGTGATCATCACCGACGAGCTTACAAGGTGGTTCTCATTCCGTATCTTGTCTCTCATCAAATCGACGAGCCCGTTGATCCCTCCGTCAGGTCCATAGCGATGAGTGTCCTCCTCGGCTATACCCCGCATTCTGTTCATCACATAGTCACTCCCATGGCTCGAGCACCTCCTCCCTCGCGCAGGGACGGAGGGTCCACGAAAGTGTCTTATCGACTCACGCTGCTTCGCAGGCGGAGGGGGGAGGCTTCCAGTGCACGATTCCTTGAGCGAGGGAGAGGACTTCCCTTCCTCCCTTGCCTCCTTCCTCTCTGATCATCCGCTGCATCTTGACAACGCACGCCTCCTCCGTCTCTCTCATCCTCCTGCTCGCACGCCAGGCCATGGCGGCCACAGGCTCGTAAGTTTGAAAGTTTCCGCCGAAACTTTGAAACTCTTTCAGCGGGAAACTTAAGAGAACTAAAGTTTAGGATTTACTCGCAGGACCCCCCGGACCCCTCTACGACAATCCGAGTTACCCCACCCACATGTTCTCGTTTGAAAAGCTTAAAAGAACCCCTGGTTTTGTTCAAAACTTTGTCTGGGTAGGGTGGTACCCCTCATACTTTTTGTCCACCCCCACCCTCTTATGCGAGATTTTTACAAGGATATGAATGGGGTAGGGTGTTACTAGTAGCAGCACTAAAACGCAACGTTTTGTATTGTTGTGCGAGTGTATGGTTTGAATACCCACCCTCATTCAAATCGAAGAACAGAAAATGAAAGGAGGGGTGTCCAAGGTACCCTTTGAATGACCAGATACTACCCCCTTTCTTAACTCAGTTTACACTGATACACCCACCCCTGATACTCCCTCAACGCCACCCTCCATGATCAACTCTTTAGTACTACCCCACCCTTTCGAGTTCATTGAAACTACCCCACCCTTTATGTTCTTCTTTACCTCCAAATCAGGTACCCTACCCCTCATGATAACATGACACCTCCCCCATTTCTCCACCCCTCCTCTCCTTCCATTTTGTAAACAAATTACCACCCTTACATTTCCGTGATTTGATACCACCCGTGGTATCCTTAACCCCATGTAACATAGATACAGGGGTACTATGCCTCACTTTTGAATTCTGCACCGGTATCTATTCGTACAAAGAAAGGGGTAGTAAAACTACCCACCTATCAAATTCGTACCTACTCCACATGTGTACCCACCGTCGAAGTACCTCGATGCGATGAACAATGCAGCCGCTACTAACCTGTTCGTTCAGCACATTCACCACCACGCTTCCATGTCCTCTCCGCTTCCTCCTCCTCTCAAGACTTTCTCCTTGCCATTTCTTCCTCATCCTGCTTCGTCTCCTTCTTGCTCTTCTGATGTGTTAGCAGCTGATCCTCACTCCCCTTTTATCTTGCAGAGGTTCACTTGCGGACCTTTTCTCATCTCTTTCCTTTTGCTTCCTCTAAGATCGTTTCTTCATTTATCTTCTCACTCTCTTTGCCGTTCTCTCCCTTACTTTAGCGTTTTCACCCTCTCTCCTCCTTTCCTCACCTCCCTCAACACCTAAAAAGGTTCTAGAAGGATCCAGAAATGTTCCTGCACTTCCATCTTCCTCGGCAGAACGCTTGGCGGTCATTGATTTCTGTCTTTCAGTTCTCCGTCGCTCTCTTGCTCTCGACAACGTCCATGTATTGGTGAGGTATCCTCTGAACTCAACAAGTAGGCCGGCTGGAGTCACAAGTGAGCAACAATGACGGTGGAGTCGACGGCCGGGCAGGGCAAGAGAACCAAAGAGAGCAACACGGAGAGCAGGAATGAGATGATGCAAGACGATTCTATGGAGGATGTCTTCCTTGACACGGAGCATGGAAGGGATACGAGCATTGAGATCGACCACCCCAGCCGTTCCGTCACAGACCATTCGGGGTGGTTCCCGGCGAACCCCTCGCCGAACCTCGTTGCGATCTTCGAGGAGGACGAAGACTTCAACTCGGCCAAGCACGAGACGCAGATGTGGTCCTCCCGGCTGACGTACCTCATCGCGTCCGTGGGAGGAGCTGTCGGCATCGGCAACGTGTGGAGGTTCCCGTTCCTCTGCTACAGGAACGGCGGGGCAACATTCCTCATCCCTTACTTCCTATCCCTCTTTGCCCTCGGCATCCCTCTCTGGATCCTCGAGTCCTCCCTGGGGCAAGGGATCGGCAAGAGCTCCCTCGGATGCTTCCGAGACCTGTCGAGGAGGTGGAAGGGGCTGGGCTGGCTCAGCTTCGTTGCAAACCAAGGGATCTGTATCTATTACTGTGTGGTGCTCGCATGGAGTCTGCGGTACCTCGGCGCTGGCATGAGCGCTGGGCCCATCCCCTGGGCCGGAGGGAGCGGGACAGAATACTTCCAGTCGGAGATCCTGCACAACGCGTACGTGTGCTGGCAGAGGAACGGAACGGTAGACTGGAGTAAGGTAGGGGAAGCGCGTTCTTGGCACGAGGAGGTTTATCCGCTCAGTCTCCTGGTGAACCAGTCGAGGCTGCATCAGACGGACATCCTGGACTACACGCAGGCAGATGAGATGAGGAGGAGGTTCGGGCTCAGATGCCACGAGACTGGATTCCACCAGCAGGGGAGAATCATAGACGAGAATGTCACGTCGCTTCTAGTGATATGGCTGGTGGTGCTCGTCATGGTTTTCTACGGCACCAAGACGCTCAAGTGGTCAGTGTACCTCTCCATCCCGCTGCCCTACATTGTCCTCGTTGTCATCTTCTTCCGCGGGGTCACCCTGGAAGGAGCCAGCGATGGGATCCGGTGAGAGGGTAGTAGTAGTAGTAGTACTAGGAGGAGGAGGAGGAAGAGGAGGAGGAGGAGGAGGAGCTGAGGAGGAGGAGAGTCAGTGACAAGGAACGCAGGTTCTACCTCCAGCCGGACATGGAGCGACTTTTCTACGATCGCGTTAACCCGGAGACGGGAGAAGTCCAGACGGCCATCGACGTCTGGATCAACGCGGCGTCCCACATCTTCTTCACCTTCGGGCTTGCGGAGGGAATCCTCATCACCTACGCCTCCTACAACCCGCCACGTGAGGACGAAGGACGGGGAGGGCGAGGGAGGGGAGGGGATGGGAAGTGAGAGCTTGTGGCGGAGCAGGGGGAAAAGTAAGGATGAAACTGGATGAGGGAGATGGTAGGAGGGAGAAGAATGAGCGAAGAGAGAAGAAAGGAAAGTTGGTGGAGGCGGCAGGCGGGAGGCAGGAGGGGAGAGTTCGGGGAGGAGCATTGAAGATAAGAATCTCTGACTTTTGATCGTCAGACTTCCACATCCCCTCCAACGCAGCTGTGATTGCCTTTACCAACTGCGCGACTGAGTTCTTCTCCGGCTTCTGTGTCTTCTCCATCCTTGGCTACATGGCGCACAAGAAGGGGGTCGCGGTCGAGGACGTGGTGGCAGGATCTCCTTCCCTTGTCTTCGAGACCATCCCTGAGGTAAGCTGTTCTCCTCCACAACCTTAACCTTCTGCTGCTGCTGCTGCTGCTGCTGCTGCTGCTGCTTGTCCATGTTCATGTCCACGTTTTTGCCCTTGCCCTTCCTCCTTCGCCTCATCATGATCTGTACCCTTCTCCTCTTTCGTCTTCCTCCTTCCATTTCTTGACCTGACCATCAGGCATTGTCGCTCATGCCCTCGCCCAAAGTCTTCAACTCTCTCTTTTTCATCATGCTCCTCCTCCTCGGAATCACTTCAGCCACCACCATCGTCGAAGTTTCGGTCTCTATCCTCCGCGATCAGTGCAGGGAGATGATCCAGCGGGGAGGAGCGTGCTCGGGGCTGGGCCGGCTGATCATGAAGAAGACCTGGTTCCTGCCCTGCATCGTCAGCGTTCTATCCTTCCTACTCGGCCTTCTCTTCTGCAGGAGATCGGGATCGCTGTGGGTCGACCTGGTCGACGGCTCCATCTCCAACTTCCTCCTCACCCTCATCGGCTTCTGCGGTGAACTTTGACCTCCTTGTCCTCCCCAGCTGACCCCCAGCAGAGTTCGTCCTTGTCGCCTGGATCTTCGGGATGCCCAATGTTCGCCTGCTCCTCCATAGGAGGATCGCCTGGTTCCCCAAGTCCCTGCTGGGCTTCTTGTGGAAGTATGTCGGTCCTGTCACCACCTTCGTCCTCCTCGTGGCAGGAGTCAGGTAGCTTCCTCCTCCTTCTCCTCCTCCTCCTCCAGTACCACCACCTGCTCGTTCTCCCTCCTGCTGATTCTAGTGCTCTTTAGCTCATCTTGTCACACTCTCCTCCTCCTCAACTTGTTCTCTTTCTTTCCCTCATTCACGTGCTTCTCTCCATCACTTGTCTTGTCTGCATTCACGTCACTCAACCTGTTCCCTTGTGCTCCTTTTCTCCATCTCTTTCTCCTCATCCTTCTGCACTCAACCTGCTGCCTGCAGAAACTACATCAGCGATCCCATCACTTCCGTTCCCTGGGCTATTTGCATCGGATGGATGATACCTCTACTCCCTCTCGCTGTGTGGATGGTACTCCTGCTCCTGCTCCTGCTCCTGCTCCTTCTCCTGCTCCTCTTCCCGTTTTCCTCGTCCGCCTCTCCCTTGTTTTCCTCTTCTCCCTTCTCTCGACCTTGTCGGCTCCCTCCCTCTTCCCTCCCCTTCCCTCTTCATCTTCTTCGTCCTCCTTGTCCCTGTCCCCTGCTTCTTCCCTCACCCCTCCCGGTCTCGTTTCGTCTCCTTGTCATAACTAATCTTTGCCGCCTTGCCCTCCTTACCATCTCGCAGATCAAATCCATCGAGCTCTGCAAGGCAAAGCATGTGGTGAGTGAACGATAGAGCTACTCCCCCTTCCTCTCGTTGGATTCTTTCCTTCTCTTCGTCCTCCTTGATCCATGTTCCCTCCTGCTCCTGCTCCTGCTCCTGCTCCTGATCCTGCTCCTGCTCCTGATCCTGATCCTGCTCCTGCTCCTGATCCTGATCCTGCTCCTGCTCCTGCTCCTGCTCCTGCTTCTGCTTCTGCTCCTGCTCCTGCTCCTCTCACCCCCTATTCAGGTCCAGCTCAGCGTGTCCTCCTTCCGATTCTCTACCAGTGAGTGTTACTGACGTCGGTCTGGAGGGGGGCCCTGACAAGACCAGCAGGTCAAGATGTGGAGAAGGCGCGATTAAACCAGGCGGTAGAGGAGCTCAAGTACGACGAGCAATCAGAACAAGCAGAGAGAAGAGCTCACGTCAGGCAGGAGCAAACAGATTGATGACCTGAAGGCCAACCAGGATCAACTAATCAGTGTACTCAACGACCAGTTGCAGAAAATCAGGCTGAAAGCTTTCAGCCTCCAGTATCGAGCACTATCGACCGAGGGTATGTGGTGGGAGGGGATCAGCCGCACGCAGGCAGGAGCGACCATGATCTCAAAACTGCAAGAAAGAAAGCTAGTCGAAGGCCTTGACGTACTGCTGGTGGACGGAACAAGCAGACTGATGATATTATGTGATGCTATAACCGAGGCGAGAGAAGGCGGGACGAGCCGCGATGAGATGAGATGAGATGAGATAGATGAGATGAGATGAGATGAGATGTAGAACCTGTATATTTTGGTATATTCGTATCCGTTGACAATAGAATCAGCGTGGAGATCTCAAATTCTCAAGCTCCCATCCTTCGAAAATTGTTGTTTCTGAAAACAATTCCTTTGGGATTTTGAGTAGCAGTGGGAACTGCGAAGCAGAAACTTGAAGAACCTGTTTCACGAAAGAGCCCATGGGGAGTTGAGAGATACAAAGTCTTCTTGCTTCTGTTTGTCTTTTCCACTTGAGTAAAGTAAAAGAAGCTGTATCTTCTTTCATGAGCTTGTTTAGCAAAGTTGCTGGTTCGCTCAACTGCCGAGGGAGAGAAGGAAGGCAAAAGTTCAGGGGATACTAACAAAGATCGCCGTTGAAAGTTCACACAACAGCCAGAGGAGAGGAAGGGCGGAGAAGCAGCCAACATGGTGCTGAGGATGTGGGGGAACTTGTTGACAGGTATGAGAGGAGAGCAGCAAGTTTATGGGAACGAGATCGGGAAGTATCTGAAACGCTCTCAGTGGCATATGGAGGAGGAGGAGGTGGAGGTGGAGGTGAGAATATCGAGGACATCGTAAGGACGCACACGAGGGCGAACAGACATCGTTGTCTCCCCTCCTCCCTTGGGGATAGCGAGGAGAGGGGAGGATGGAAGTGAGGAGACGAAGTGAAGGAGAGCCAGCAACGGAGGTGCGGAGAGATGGGAGGGAGGAAGAGAGAAAAGCAGAGCAGAACAAAAGCAGAGCAGAGCAGGACAAGCAGGACAAGAGCTGAGCAGAGAAATCGTAAGGAGAGGAGAGAAGATGGGAGGAGAGAATGAACATGAGGAGAGGAGAGGATGAAATAGAAGGGCAGAGGAGACGGGAGGAGAGGAGAGGAGACGGGAGGATAGGATAGGATGAAATAGAAGAGGAGAGGAGACGGGAGGAGAGGAGGCGGGAGGAGAGGAGAGGAGAGGAGAGGAGAGGAGAGGAGAGGAGAGGAAGAGAGGGGAAGAGAAGGAAAGAAGGGAAAGAGGGAGGGGGAAGTCAAGAGGGAGAAACATGGAGAAGAAATGAGGGGAGGGAGAGAGCGGGAGTTTAGATAGAGGGAGAGTTTGATAAAAGGAAAGGCAGGGGGACGACGGACGTTGTCATAGGAGAAAACAGAGCGAGGGAGGGCAACGAGTCAGGGAGATCAACGAGGTGGAGGGAGGAGGTGGGAAGAGGAGGCAGGAGGGAGCCATAGGGGTTTACAGGAAGTTCTTTCACGACAAGAAAACGAACAAATTCGCAAAGCAAGAAAGTTGAGCAGAGACGGAGGGGCAGGGTTGTTGATAGTCAACTGCGGTCAAAAGCTCCTTCTACTTGCGACCATTGCCCCCCCTCTCCCTCCCCACCGCCACCACCACCCAACTGCCTCCATTCCTCCTTCTAGATGCTATAACTTCTCTCCCTACGTGGTATTACTTTTCCTCCCTGAGTGGTATGCCCCCCGTCATCATCCAGTCAAGCCCTTGGGACAATGGCAGTAGACGAGTCAGCTGGAAGAAGATCAAGATGGTAGGCAGTTTACAGCAACAGGGAAAAATGATCTCATGAACAATGTGAAAGAAGAGAAAGAGGGAGAGGGAGAGCGAAGGGATGGGAATGGGGATGGGGATGGGGAGAGGGAGAGGGAGAGGGAGAGGGAGAGGGAGAGGGAGAGGGAGAGGAAGGAGGGTTTACTGGTGGGGAGCTAAGGAGCGAGAGAAGGTAGTCAGAAAGGCAAAAGACAAGGACAAACACGAGGAAGCACAATGAGAGGGACCAACAAACATCATGACCTACACACGCATGACGACAACAGGAAAGAGGATAGTCACAGTCACCCATTTTGGCACACGAGAATGACAGTGAGTCATCGGGTGGGAGAGCTTACATGATGCCACACTGAGGCAAGGGGCACATGGCAGGGCAGAGGAGGGTCGGATAAGAGAATGTGTGGTATGACTGATTCAGTTGGAGTTGAAATTCGACGGAGGACAAGGGGGAGCGGAAGGATCGAGTGCAGGGGTCCAGACAGAGGAGAGATTCATTCCTGTAGCTGATCTCTGTCAACTGCCATGCTGCTTCCCACCTTCGCCACCGTTCGCTATCGTCGCATGCAGATTTCACCGCTGCATTACCGTCTACGCTATTTTTTTTTCGTTTTCCTTTGTTTTTTGTTTTTTTTCGTGCTCGGGGAATGTTTTGGGGTATTGGACCCCAATAATATCACTCAAAAGGGGGGGTGGTGTATGTGAGGGTCCAATCGTCGTAGTTCAACGACGATTGGATTATGTGTAAAGACACTGAGAGTGAAAACAAATTCTTTCAGTTTTTTTCACTTCTGTTGTCACGAAAATACTTCATTTCAACATTTTCTTTTTTCACAGGGAGCTGCGACTGCGAACATGTCCGAGTCGTCGTAGTGGAAGCAGCAGCAGCAGCAGCAGCAGCAGCAGAGACGTCGGCGGCAGGACGGGAGAAGGGGAATGGGGAGGGGCAGTGGAAGAAGTTGGGTGAAGGAGGAAGAGGGCCAAAGAGAGCAAGCAGTAGCTAGAAGGATCTCGATTAGAACGAGACCAAGTCAACGGAGGGGAGTCAAGGGAGGGCGTGTGGCGCCATGCGTCAAAGGCGAGAGATGAAAGGGGAGGGGAGGGAATAGTCAGTACCTAATATGAGGGAGGGAGATGGAGTATGGACTTGATGTAAGACATATAGCACACCGGTGCATGACCAAGAAAACTTGATTGTAAATTTGCTCAGAGTACTTGATGGCAGGCATAGGTTTGATACAGAACAGAATCAAGTCGAATACTGATGATTGCACGTGTGTTGTCCAAAACTGAAAGATCGCCAGAAAAGGAGTGAGGCAACCAGATACAGACAAAGATGAAAGTGAGAAAACTGTATTTCTTACAGCCAGAAACAAGTCATCGAGTCCAGAGCTACTGAATAAATCAAAGACACACAGAAACGTGTTGAAATGCAGGAAGGTAGGCAGGCAGGCAAGCAGGCAGGTTCGCAAGCACACTGAACTGACAGACAAAACTGAGAAATAGAAAAGAAAGCAAAGCAGTTTGGCAGAGTAGCTTACTAAGTGACTGATCATCTAGTTGGATGGATGGATGGATGGATCAGATGGATCAGATGGATGAGATGAACGCAGGTAGGCTATATAAAAACAAGTCGAAGTGACTGTCTGTCTGCCCTCTCCCTGTCATCATTCTTTGTGTATATCTGCATGCCTTGTTCCAGTCGGCAGGCTGATTGAGACAAGACAGACAGACAGACAGACAGACAGACAGACAGACAGACAGACAGACAGACAGACAGACAGACAGACAGACAGACAGACAGACAGGATTTCAGTGAAAGATGATCCAAGTAAGCAGGTAACAAGGCAGGAAGGATCCCAGACCATTAGACTGAGGCTGGACGGCCAGCAAGGCTGGCGGAAGTGAAATGGATAAAAGGAAGTTTGGAGAAGAGTTATGCACAGACGTAGCCGTATCAATATCTGTCAGTTGCAATTGTTTGAAAGATGGTAAAGAGTGAGAGCACTATAGAAAGGAACGTAGTTTCCCAAGATGGTGATGGGGAAGGGGAGAGATCGAGAAAGCTCAAAATGAACAGGAACGACTCGGAACATAAGTAGTTGATCACACTCAAGAACGGAGAAACAGAGAGCTTTCTCTCTTTCTCTCTTTCTCTCTTTCCCTCTTTCTCTCTTTCCCTCTTTGTCTCTTTCTCTCTTGTTCATTCTTCTTGTTCTGCTCCTTTTCTTCGTCTGTCTATGAACTTCTTCTGCAATTCTGCAATATTTGTGGCGATGTAACGCGATGTGCAAAGAGAGCGAAGGGTGTGCCAACATTGGCAACTTCCAATGCAGATGGCAAGTCTTGCAATCAAAGAAGCATAGGAAGGACAGAATGGTGCGAATGCAGTATTGGGACATGTCAAACTTTCTAGCATTGAACGTCGTCGTCGAGGCTTTCAGACGATGATTACGCTTTCATTGACATTTATTGTTGTTGTTTTGCTACATCTTTCAGATAAAAAACGGCCATCTATTCCCCTCACATATCAGCGCTGACGATCTGTTCCGGGAGCTCGAAATGCCTGCGTAAGATCCCCCCCATTCACATTTCCACGGCCAGAAATGCAAATTCCTCGCTGCTGCATAAACCGTCAGCACCTCCCATTCCTCCTCGATATCCCAGACGCACCGAGCTCGCAGCAATCCCTTGCTCCAGCATCTGCTGCTCCTGCTCCCACTGAAATCTGCTTCTGCTCGTCGTAACTTGCATCAAGGGCTGCTGGCCAACTTCAGCAGTGAGCGCCTTGGCAGCAGCTGGGCGAGAGCTCAAGTACGGAGCCTGACGCTCAAACGTTGAATCAGCATGAGAAGGCGAGTTGATCAGAACAGGCTGATATAGGGGCTCCTGAGCCAGAGGAGGAGGCCTGTACGACGACTCCTGGAGCATGGCCAAAGCAGGATCAGGGACTCTGTTGTCCAAGGCATCACGATAGTTCATCTGGCTCATGAAGGAGAGCTCGTCGGTGGAGAAGATGTCCATCGGGAACGCAGAGCTGCTGGAAGGAAGATTCATCCTCATGTGCTGCCCCTGCAACGCCCTGCCCTCCCTTGCAAAACGCAGTACCTCCCCCGGCTCCTCCTTGACCTGGAACCTACTGTTGTGAATCGAAGGGTCCGGATACTCTCCCATGATGCCAACTTGCTGCCCTTGGGATGCATTCACGATCTCCTCGAAGATGTCCATCCCCTTACTGCCAACCGTGGCTTCTTCGAAATCATCTTCCATCCCATCCTGCACAGGAGGCACTGCTGCCGGGATGTCAGAGTCCTCTTGCTCCCTCGGTTGCTTCGTAAGATTGACGCAATCGATCTTTCTGTCCCGACATCGTGAGCAAGGCCTGCAGCCATCGCACCGCGCCTTCGCCTTGTTGCAAGCCATGCACGCGACGTTCTTGGGTAGCTGGAAGTGGCTGGACTGAAGGAACGAAGAACCGTGGAAGTAGAGGGCAGAGCAAACTGCACGAGACTTCTTTGTTGAGCTTGGAAGCTGTGCAACGTCTCCCCTCGACTTCTGTATCCACCATTGCGCACGAACATCGGCGCTGTCGATGCATTGCTCCTCCTTTCCTAGGCGGATGCATCGCTTGCAAGGACGGGCGTCGTTGCAAGCTGCCTTTGCCTTGGCACACACGACGCAGGCAATGGAAACCTGTCGCAGCTCAGTTCGCATGGAGAGCACAAGCTTGCTGACCTGATGCCTTCGCTTCCGCCTTCCTAGTGTTGGATCGGCTGCATCCGGATCCTGATCCTGTTCGGGAAGGAGACCGTTCCCCAGTAAGGCTCCTGCCCCAGCTCCGGCTTCCATCTCTCTCTTTCAAGTTTGATCAGACACAAAGAATAAACATCCTCAGCTCCTCCGCTGAAATTTCTGCATGAGCGTGGCAAGCGAGCTTCTCGGGCTCACCAGCTGTTGCGACAAAATGTGGAACGGCAGAGTGCAAGCTGCCATTTTTTCGTAATCGCCCCCTGATCACAAGAAATGGAGAAATCTTGATATCATTCCTGCAGATCAAAAAGTCAAAAAAAGGAGCTTGTGCTCATGTGAAGCAGTCTATTACATGGAAAACTACAGAACGGGTCACAGATTTCACCATGAAAGCTCCCTCCCCTCCCCTACGAATCATGGAATCAAGATCTTGCCGTCACGATCGAGCGACATATCTTTCTCAATCACCCTGGATTTCATTCCCTCCTTCCTATCCTCGCTTCCCCCCGCCCCTCTCCCCTCGCCCTCCCTCTCCCATGCATTGTCCTGGTCGCCCATTCACCCCGACATAACAACACCCATTGCAGAGGCCGACGCGGCGTAGACTGCTCGACACACGGTAGGACCTAGGACTAGCCTGGTCTCATTCTACAGGGTGCTAGGAAGGTAGTAGTACATAGCACCTCTTGGTACAAGGCCTAGGACCTCTGGGACAGTCTAAGTACCCCATCTCGAGATTCAACTGAAGATATGAAAGATCGCATCGTCTCGTTGTGTGGTAAATCATTACCCCCTCACAGGGAGATAGGGGTAGGTGATTGAAAAATGGGGTCAAGTCTCCGTGTCTGGGGGTAGGGGTCCATTGGTAGCCCTGGGTGGCTCTTTTATTGTCCAGTTACAGTGACTTTTGCTAGCCGACCTGTGGAAATCAGGTGGGTAGGAAGGTTAAGGAGGGGGGGTGGGGTTGGTGGTCGGAGCGAGAAGGTCAAGGTGGCGAATGACTAGAGGGACTTGAAAGGTGGGTAGGGTGGACGGTGGGACAACCGGTGTTTTTATACCACAGAAGGTTCTGGAAGGCAAGTAGGCTAAATATATATAATTATTCGTCGATGATGGGCTTTAAAAGAATTAGTTATTTATAAAGGATACAAAAGATATATGATTGTATAATACTTTTAGCAGAAGGTTATTATCTTGACCTTCCAATCTTTGTCCCAAAAAAAGAAAGGGGAGCGGGGTCGAGGGGTCCATTGTGTCTGGGTGGTATACGTGCTCGATTCACAACAGGGTCGCAGGGCTGTCCCCCCGTGGGTCAGGGCTACGATGAATTTCAGAGGGATGCTCTTGATCGTTTTCAGACCTAGAGCAGTCGAGGAGAATTCTTTTGAGCAGGGGATGTTTCGAGGTTGCAGGGTTGGTACTAGGGGCTGACATTATGGTGGGTGATCAGTTGTGTGCAGAGGGTATCACAGTGTGTGCACATGGTGCACTACCCCCTAAGAATCCGTAAAGTACCCCGTCTTTCAATGGGCAACTTGCGCTGTGTGAAAAAAAAATATCTCGGGTCCATGACTCTCAAAAAATCCAATCGATGCATTTTCGCTCACGATCCCTGCAGCTGTTAGGTACCCCTCCTCTTTAATGGTATTACACCCGTGGTCGCATCTCTCAATTCTCTTATTTACTACACATGAACAAAAAAACAAAAAAAAGAACAAAAAAAGGAAAGCAATTTGAACCTGCTGTATGCCGGGCAAATGTCTATGCATCAAGGGGGTGGGGGTGGGGGTGGGGGCGCCATGCCACAGAGTACTGTCACGGCTCATCTTGGATTATGGCGGCAAAGAAACGAAATGACAGGGTAGACGCACATAAGTCGAGCGAGATAGAACAAAAGACTTGCGCAACATGTAAACATTCATAGCGAGCAAGCAATCAAGTATAAGGCAAGATGATGGTAGCCTTTCTGCACGAAGGAGCAGTGGCTCTGAGTGAGTCTGGGAGTTGAGGCTAGATCGTCAGTTTCTTCGACTTGTACACAACATGCTCCAACAAACTGTACTGATTAAAGATGATTCTAGAATCATAGCATGAGAATGCTATTTTAAAGATGCCTATGGCTCTACAATGATGCACATGAGCCGAGCAGAAAAGGAAAGGCCGCGATGACCACGAAAAGTTCTTTACGTGGGACAACCTCCTGTTGACTTGTTTGCACGTAAATATCATACATCAGTGGCACAAAGCCGTCCCGCGTCAGGTCGTGCACAGGCAAGAGAAGCATTACATGATGTGAAAGGAGCGGAAAACTGGATATACAGCACAACCAACCAAAACGGGGAATTCCCACATCGCAATTCATTCCATGTCAAGGAGAAAGCCATTGATAGGCCTATCAGTGTTGCAGAGAAAGAACAAGGAACCTACAGAAGTGGGGATAGATGACAGATAGGTTGAAACACAGGATTCTGAAATGTAATTGATCGAGTACTTGACGAGTGGAATAAAGGAATTGCACCATAGACAAAGTATCACTGCAACAACCACACACAAGAGTTTGAGTTCTTGAGAAGAAGATGGAAAGTGATGAACGTGTATGAGTCAAAGCCAAACGTTCTCATCAAAGAACACAAGTGTGCATGGACTTTGGAGGTGAAATCTGAACAGGAATACACATCAGGTCATCAAAACAGCAGCGATATGGGAGCAAAGTCAGCTTGAGCCATCGCCTGGGAACAAGTAGGGCTCTGCTAGATGTCTCAACCTAGGTATCGAACAACGAAGATGATTGCACTGGTTGGGATGAGGACCTTGTGGGGGTGGGCTGGGAGCAGTGAAGGACACGAATCTGAAGCAAGCATAAAGAGGGTGTACGGCGAATGAGTGAATGTAGTTCAAGATGAGACTTAAGGCCACAATACCCTAGGGATTCATGATAAAGAAGCTTATTCAAGCACTAATATCAGCTCGTAATCCTCATTCAAATCTTCGTTCAAATCATTGCTCATATCCCCATCCTCGTTCATATCCTCGTCTTAACGCTGAGTATTGGAAACATTGAGGTGTACACAATCAAGTCCTGCAGTACGGGAAGCAGAGAGTGTGTTAAGACTAAATAGATACATCGATCAACTTTTTCAGTCAAGGATTCAGCATTTTTGTCGCAAGTGTTTATCAACTTGACGAGAGTATCAGGGTCAGGTATATGCTCTCACACTAATCGACTTCGATCTTCCTTCATTCTCTCCATTCCTCCCTCCTGCATTCTCTCTCGCTCCTGTGCCGCTCTCGTTTTGTTTCTCAACCCCCGTGTTTGTCGGTGTAGATGACACTGACATGTTCAATCAGCAATCCATACAGGGGGGGTGGTGAAGGCTGGGGTACATATACTACCAGGGAAAGTTAGAGAATTTGGTAGGAAAAGGTAGGGGTACTAGAAAGATCATCCTGGCGAATGGTGAGTGGGGTAGTGTAATCAACAAGGAGACGGCGTAGAGAAAATGTATGTACATGGGTGCTAATATGGTGATTTGAGGGGGTAGGGTGGTTTCTTGGATGCGACCGTTTGCTTTTCTGATAGGACCTACCTACCCATACTGAATACCACCCATCAAAAAGCAGTCGAAACCAGGGGTTGCATCAGCATTCCCTAACCCACCCCCTTCGACCTTACAAAGCGCCATGTGCTAAATGGCTGGTGGTGTCGACACACGAATGGGGCGTTGGAGTGAAAGTAGAGAGAGGGAGAGAGGGAGAGAGCATGGCACGTCGAGGAGCGACGAGACTCTCATGCTTGCAAGGCTATTGCGAGCAAGAGAAGAGGATGTCTCGACGAGAGGACCTCGCTGAAGGACGTGAGCTTTGACGGAGCAGGGTTGAGAAGACGACAATCTGCAGCGAGGAGGATGAGAACACGTTAGAAGTGAGAGACTGCAGAGGAAAGAAGAGAGGAAGGACGAGGAGCCTCTCTCAGTGAGAGATGAAAGAAGGGAGGGAATGCGATCTCAAGTCTGCGCCTCCATAGGCGCCCAGGGAAAGGTGGACGGGGAGTAGGATGAAACGTGTTGAAGAGGTCATAGAGAGGATGTAATGCAATAAAGTTAGATCCAAAACTTATCATAGACATGAACCAGTGAAAGTGGAAGGAAGATGATCGAGGATGGGAGGAGGGGGGGGGAGCAGGGGCACGATGCTCGTGGCAGTGGGGAGACTGGGGAGAGGCTGTCAAACAGTGGCAGCGTCTGGAGCAGCGAGTATTGTCAACCAGCTGGGAAGGAGAAGGAGAAGGAGAAGGAGAAGGAGAAGGAGAAGGAGAAAGATCCTGGATGAACTAAAGAGAACGTGTTGACATTGAAGATGACCGGACAAGAGGTGGGAAAGTGCAAAAGAGAGTCAGATCAGGCAGTGTGGAAAGACATGACACGACACGACACGACACGACACGACACGAGTAATGACATCTTTGTTGATGTCATGCTCACCCGAAAGATGGATAGAAACGGTCACCTGTCATCCATTCTTTTTCAACTTGACAGATACTTGAGGGGTCGAAGTTCCAATCCGAACCTTGAAACAAAGTGCAACGATAATTAAGGTAAAAGTTCCAAGGTTGAAGAGAGGAGGGAGCTCTCTCTGCAGGGAACATGTTTACAGCTATTCCTCTGTTTCGCAGGTTGCGCCACAAGAGAGCTGGAGCGGTCGACAGTTTGTACAGCCTTTGGTGTGATTTCTTTGCGCAGAGTATAAGAAATGGAATCAAGGTGGTAGGCAAGGAAAGTGGGGTTGTATGTTCTCAAAAATATCTTTCCAACCAGTTCCTCTCCTTAAACTCTCCCTGACCATAATGCTCAGATACCCATTCGCGATGATGCACGTTTGGAACCTGAGGTGTTCAAGTTATGGGAGGGAAGCAACTACAACTGGTGATCAAACCATCATCGTCCTCATCATCATCATCATCATCGTCATCGTCCTCATCATCATCATCATCATCATCATCGTCATCGTCATCATCGTCATCATCATCATCATCATCATCATTGTCATTGTGATTGTCAGTGCCATAGCCCTCATCAACCGCTAGCGCCATCATATGCACCCACGTAAGGCTCATGCTTCCCGTCATGGATAGGAAAGAGAGGACCGTCGAGAGAGATGTACGGAGGCAGATATCTGAGAGAGCTGGATCAACAACTGCATCCTCCTCCTCCTCCTCCTCCTCCTCCTCCTCCTCCTCCTCCTCCTCCTCCTCCTCCTCCTCCTCCTCCTCCTCCTCCTCCTCCTCCTCCTCCTTTCGCTCAAACTTCACCCCCGAGCAGCAAGAGCCAGCTGAAGCGCTGCTGCTCCGAAGTGACTGCTGGGAAGTCATATGGAAAAGGGGGAGGGCGAGGAGATGGTGGCAGTGGAGGAGACGAGCAAGAGCCGTTGAGCGAGGACGAAGATGGCAACAAGGTAACAAGAACCAATACGGGAAGGAAACGGGGACTATAGCACGGGCAGGGCAGAGGACGAGGAAGTGGAAGTGGAAGTGGAAAAGACAAGGACGAGGACGAGAACGAAGACAAGAGGTCAGTCGTGACCTCCGGAGGGTGAGGATGAAACAGTCGCAGGACTGGAGCAGGAGGAGGTCGATGAGGGCTGACTCCACCGCCATGCGGCGATCGACCTGCAGGAGGCGAGGGAGTGAGGAAGGAGCAAGGGGGGGAAGCGCAGAGACAAGCCCGTGGCGGACTCGATGCTCAATTCTCAGCTCGGAGTCCAGCTGTGATCTGTCGAAGGGCTGGAAGCAAGTCAAGGTGAGAACTCCGAGGTGAGGTTGGAACTTGAGATATGAGCTGAACCCGCTCCTGGAGCAGCTGCTGTCGAGCTTCGTCGATCACCTGGGAGAGGAGGAGAAGCAGGAGCAGGAGCAGCAACAGGAGCAGGAGCAGGGGCAGCAACAGGAGCAGGAGCAGGAGCAGGAGCAGGAGCAGCAACAGGAGCAGGAGCAGCAACAGGAGCAGCAACAGGAGCAGGGGCAGGAGCAGGAGCAGGGGCAGGGGCAGGGGCAGGGGCAGCAACAGGAGCAGGAGCAGGAGCAGGATCAGGAGCAGGAGCAGGAGCAGGAGCAGGAGCAGGAGCAGCAACAGGAGCAGCAACAGGAGCAGCAACAGGAGCAGGAGCAGGAGCAGGAGCAGGAGCAGGAGCAGGAGCAGGAGCAGGAGCAGGAGCAGCAACAGGAGCAGCAACAGGAGCAGCAACAGGAGCAGGGGCAGGAGCAGCAACAGGAGCAGGGGCAGCAACAGCAACAGGAGCAGGGGCAGCAACAGGAGCAGCAGCAGGAGCAGCAACAGGAGCAGGAACAGGAGGACCAAGGTGGGGAAGAGGTCGGAAAAGGAGGAGAGAAGGGTCAGGGAAGGGAAGGGAAGGGAAGGGAAGAGAAGAGGTTCAGAACGGAAGCACGAGGAGGAAGGACGGACCTGAGGATCATCGGATGCGATGAAGACCTTTGAGATATTATACCTGAGAGGAGGACTGAGAGGAGGAGAAGCTATATGGGAGCGGCTACTTGCGTCTGAGGTGTTGGATCCCCTCGAGATAGCGATGGAACGGTAGGCAGCCTCTGAGGAGATAGAGAAGAAGGAGGAGGACAGGAAAAAAACGAGGAGGGGGAGGGGGGGGGGGGAGGAGAAAGGGGAGGGGGAGGAGAATAAAAAGACGAAGAGTTAGAGAGGTAAACGGAAGCAAACGTGTAGGAACAGAACAGCAGACGGGAGGTCCAAGGGGTATGGACAACAGAAGAAACGCTGAAAGTGAGCAGGGAGGAGGAGAAAGTCGTGAGGCAGGAGGGCAGATAGGAGGACAGATCTGTTCTTGTAGCCTCACTTTCTGTTGTCGTCGAAGCAAGAATCTCCGTGTCGAACATGAACACCAATGATGCTCCCGTGGAAGCCGATCTCTGTCTTGACCTGCCGCAGCCTGCGAGGAGGAGGATGAGCCGCTCGGGAGGGCTGGAGGAGGGGTTGCGGCTTCCTGCTAGCGAAGGCCAAGATCGGACGGGTGAGGTGGGCGAGGGCGAGGGAGGAGAGCCAGAGCTGAAGAGAGGAGGTGAGTTGGGCAGGAAGGGAGCAGGGTGAGGGGAAAGGGGAGGAGAAGGAGAAGCTGGGCGGAAGGGGGGCGGGTCTGGGCTGAGGAGAAGGTAGGTAGGATGTGCTAGGAGGGACGTGAAGGAGAAGACATAGATTCCGTCAGGGTTGGAAAGGAGATGGGGAGAGAAGGCGAGTCGCGGAGGAGTCTGACGAGGAAGACAGGAGGTGTGTGGAAGAGAGAGGCAAGGAGGTGATGGTGAGGAGCAGAAGGTCAGTAGAAGCAGAGGGGCGGAGAGGAGGAAGGGGGGGTTCGAATGGCTGCCAAGTGAGGGGTAGTCTCTTGGACCCTCACCGCTCCCATGCCTTTGAGCGACTCTGGAATGTCCTGAACAAACGAAAGTGGAGATGTCGAGACGGCGAGGATGGAAGAGGTAACGAAGACATCAGTTCTCTTCCTTTCTCTCTCCATCTTCTTCCTCGTCGTCGTTGTCTTCCTTCCCCATCCTCTTCCCCCTTCGTCCCCATCCTCGTCCTCGTCCTCGTCCTCGTCCTCGTCCTCGTCCTCGTCCTCGTCCTCGTCCTCTCTCTCATGTTTCTCCTCCCCCATTTCCCTTCCCTTTTTCTCCCTCCATTTCCTCCTCCTCCCACGTCGCCCCTCCTCCACCACGTCTTCCTCCCACCTGGACTGTCGGCACATGATCAGCATTGGCACCCTCCGTCCGGTTGACCCGGCAGGCGGACGCGCGTTCGAGGTAACACTCGAGTCCTTGCAGGATGACACGTCAGCAGAGGAGACGCAGCGGTCGAGAGCAACCGAGCTCATGGCAAGGTGGGAAGTTCATCCAACTCCAGCTGGAGTCCACCACGAGGGATCTGTTGACACCCATCGCCTGCCCAGCTGCTTGTCAAAACCCCGCAAACTGCCGGATGGGAGGGGAGGCACCTGGACGAGAGCTGTTGAGAGCCACCGCAATGCAAATCCGATGCCCTGGAGGTGAGGTGAGGGGGGGAGAGGAGGAGGAGGAGAGGAAGTGGAGGGGAGAGGTGGACAGGAGGAGTGGAGGAGCAGACGAAATGAGACGAGAGCAGCGCACAGCATTAGCAAGTGGAGAGGGGAGAAGGATGGAGCGGAGCGGACAGGGCAGGGCAGAACAGCACAGCACAGCACAGAGCAGAGCAGGGCAGAGCAGAGCAGGAGTAGTATCAGCAGTGTGAAAAGGATTCCTTGACTGTTCTTGTTCACCTTGTTGCCAACCGAAATGTCCTGAAAGAAGATCGTCTGCCGGTCGCATGCTTGCTTGTACTGATGGCGTCAAAAGTTGTCAATGACCTGAAGCGATGGGGCTGTAAACATTCCAAGGGTGACCTGGGAGGCAATGACGTGGCGCAGGAACAGCGGGGTGAATCTCTCGAGCGTATCCCTTGACTGCCTCGGAGTGCACGGCAGATCCTGTGTCAGCACCTGTCGGAGGGAGGTGAGAAGATTTCCACGTCAAGGACTTGGCAGCGTCTCCGCGAGAGTTCGCAGCTGCACCTCGGGGAGGAAGGAGGAGTGGAGGAAGGGAGAGGCAGAGCAATCCTCTCCGAAGAAGTCCGGGTTGCAGATGCAGACACCGTCGACGCACCGCCCTTGCGTGCAGTTGTGTTGGCAGCCGGCAGTCTGATTCACTACCAAGGAATGGAAAACAAGGAATGGATGTGAGAAGGCAAAACATTCAGGTTCGTGTAGATGTTAAACCTGGTTGGTGCAAATTGGCTGGAGAAGAGAAGGATTCATACTCGTTGAACATGAAGGTTGCCCAATCATTGTGAACGACCTGACAACATCGTTGTCATCACTAGCAGCAGCAGCAGCAGTCAGCGAGCATACCTCTTCCTCTCTCAGCAGGCAAGCTTTCTTCCCTCCCTCCGTCTCGTCCCTTTCTTCCTCCTTCTCCTCCTCTGGCACAACCGAGAAGAGCACAGACGCATTCGCATCATAGGGATGTAGAGCAATGTCCAGGAGCATCACAGTCAAATTGTACTCTCCCCTCCTCCTCCTCTCAATCCCCGTCGGGAGCTCGAACTGGTTCGCTCGGTTCCTAACGACCCCCTGGTAAACCCCATTGAGGAACCACACTACCAGAACTGACACGAACTTCGACGTCTGCCGCTCCCCCGTCCCCTCGGAGATCGTCAGGATCACCTGGACCTCTGACCCTCCCTCGAACCTCCAGCCCTGTGGCGGGAAGCTGATCAAGACTTGCGGAGTTGATGGCATGCGCACAGTGAAGCGCATCGGGTGGACAGACATCGGCCGCGTCCCCTCCCCCGATACCTCGAACGTCTTCACCGTCCCCTGGTACACGTAGTTGTTGACAAGCTCACCAAGGACCAGGGTAAGATGCCTACTGTATCGCACAGCCTCCTCCTCCATCTCCTGCTCCTCCTGCGCAGGCTGCAAGCCTCCCAGCAACGGCTCCTCCTTCTCTTCTCCCATCCTGACGTTGAAGTTCTTGAGGAGGACGTCGTGACCGTTTGTCGTCAGGTGAAGTTCGATACGCAAGTAGCCCATAGGACATCCGTCTATGTGGATGGTGAGGACGGGGGGGTCGTCCGAGAACTCAAAGTCCGCAGGAGGAAAGACGAAGAACCTGCAACCTCCTCCTTCCTCCTGCACCTCTTCCTCCTGTAACGTGTCCACCGTCTCCAGAGCTGCTTCCTCCTCCCCGGACGTGAAAGGAACGGACCAACAAGAGAGAATGAGGGTAAGGAGCAGGAGCAACAATCCACTGTACATGCTCATTTCAATCATCACTGACTTGTTTGTGATGGTGAACAACGGGAAATATGACGATCCTCAACGTCATTGAGTTGAGCCATTCACATCTGAGTTCCTGCCACTGCTGCAACTTTTCTTCCCACTTTTCCCTCTCTCTTGCTTTCTTCTCAACCTCTGAAAATTTGAGCTTCCACAATGATTGTCTCCCTGCTTTGTGCTGCCCTGCCACTCAGTGGTCCGCGCACCTGTCTTCTTCTCTCCTCTCTCCTCTCTCCTCTCTCCTCTCTCCTCTCTCCTCTCTCCTCTCTCCTCTCTCCTCTCTCCTCTCTCCTCTCTCCTCTCTCCTCTCTCCTCTCTCCTCTCTCCTCTCTCCGCTCTACTCCATAGTGAAAGTTTCCGCAAAGCACTACGGCCAGTCAAAATTTCCGAGTTCGTCAAGTCGGGGAGGTCAAAATCGATTCAAATCAAGTCATTATTTGGTTCAAATCGATTTGTGAGATTTTCTGTCCTTGATTCGATAGGGTAGGGTACTTTGAAATATCACAAGATACCGGGTACTTTAACATGATAAAGTAGGGTACTTTTGAGCAAAGGGTAGTCTAGTGGGGGTGGATGCAAAGGGTCTGAGGTTGTACGGAGTGCAGGATGCCAGGCCGTTGGAAGGAGTGAGGGAGAGCGAAGGGAGGAGGGAGGGAGGGAGAGGGGGGGGAGGGAGAGAGAGAGAGAGAGAGAGAGAGGAGGGAGGGAGAGAGAGAGAGAGAGAGAGAGAGGAGGGAAAGAGAGAGAGAGAGAGAGGAGGGAGGGAGGGAGAGAGAGAGAGGAGGGAGGGAGGGAGAGAGAGAGAGAGAGGAGGGAGGGAGGGAGGGAGATAGAGAGAGGAGGGAGGGAGGGAGAGAGAGAGGAGGGAGGGAGGGAGATAGAGAGAGGAGGGAGGCATCAAATGGCAGTTTTTCTTTGATTCGCATTCGGTTGCTGAGACTTCTCTGGTATCAGGTACCCGCAAGGGATGACTCAGCGATCGACATCGATGGTCATGCAGTGAAGGCGCATGCGGGAGGCTCGCGATGGTGTACAAGAAGAAGCGAGGTCTGTCACCCGACGAAGCTGCCAACGTCATACAGCGAAGCTTTCGAAGTTTCATTGTGCGTCCTTCTTTGTGCAGACTGCGTCCTCTCCCCATGACCCTCCCTGCATACAGAATGTGCGTATCTATCAGTACTATCGAAGCCTCATCAACTTCCGCAACCGGGGGGACCCTTCCTTGCTCCTCAAAAGCATCAACCCGTCTGAGGCAGCCCTCGTGCAGGACAGAGCATCTGGTGCTGTGGTCAGGTTCCGGCTGGGGGGGAGCGTGTTCCCCCCAGTGGTCTACTACAAGATCTTCGTCAGGGCTCCAGTTACAGACCTGGGTTCATTCGCCCCTCGCGACTACACGGCAGGCAGGCCGAACCAATTCTACCTGCTGCAGCGGCACAATGACGCGTTGATGGACGACAGCCGGCAAGAGACGATGAAGGATGTGACGGCTCAGGTCGATCGAGGAGGCTGGTACAAGAGGTTTGAGAACAACGGCTGGCGTCCCATCGCCAACAAGCTCCTGTTCAACGTCGATCCGGTCACGGCAAGGACGGCCGACCAAAAAAAACCTGACTTCCACCACTCCTGCACAACGAGAAAGCACCTGGCTCATGCCAAGCGCCTCAAGAAGAAGAAGGAATGGATGTCGAGGATGTACAGGCCGAAGGGAGAAAGTCACAATGCGAAAGGGGAGGAGGAGGGAGAGAATGAAGAAGAGGAGGAAGGGGTCGAGGACGAGGATGATCTGCGTGAGGTAGGACGTGCCGCCTGCTTGCGGATCTCTGAGAGTACGTGCAGGATTTTGACATGGTGACTTGGGCCCATTCGTTGGACTACGAAGGTACTGTTGGCGATTGACGCCTGATGCTTGTCGTTGAAATTGGTGATAGACTACATGGAAAACTGGACTTCGCTGGCAACCAGTCTGACTGTGCATGATATGAGACAAGAGTTATGATGTCGTACTTTAAACCACATGATGGATCGGTGGTTGAGTCGGTTTCCAACGTGTTCACACTCGTGCTAATTTTTTACTTGACCAACTTCGTCCAATACTGTTTTCGTTCTCTTTGTCTGCAGTTGAGACATCTCCTTTCGTATTCTCGAGACCTCGTCTTCAATCGTGAGCAACCTGTCCGGGACAGCCAGTGGGACTGTATCTAGGTGGCCCCTGTTGACCTCGTACTCTTCCTTAGTGATGACACCTTTGTTGTACAACTTCTCGAGCTCTTGCTCCTTCAGCGTAGTCATGGACGCGACATCCATGAGTTCAGCGTCCGTATCGACCTGGGCCTCCTCTTTCTTGCTTGAGATCTGAACGATCGCCTGGGAGAAGTCAAGTTCGGGGTACTTCCGGCCCCAGTCCCGTTCCTTTAATTCAACGACGAACCAGAGGCACAGGGCAGGCATCGCCGAGAGTACTGCCTGAAACAAGTGCCAGAGCGGACCAAACCTCTTCTTCTTGACCGATTTCCTGAACAACGCTCCAAAGGATGTGAAAGAGAAGCGACCTTGGTGCTCGTAGTCCTGCAACACAGGGTCATTACAGCACAGGGGAGCTGCTCGACAAGACCTGTGGCAAGGGCTCTGTGTACTTGTCATAGGTTTCCTGAGAAATGAAAAAGTAGCGCTCCTTCTCCTTGACAGCCAGTTGATTCTCCTTGTTACCTTCTGACGTCTGCAATTGATTCTCCACATTCCCCTCCCCTGCCTTGGACGCAGGCAGAATGCTTCTATCGTTCTCTTTCGCGATCAATCCAGCTGTGTTTTCATCACTTTTCGCCGTTTCTTTCCCCTTATCATCGGTAGAGAAACTGCAAGTAGGCGTCAACGAGCGCATGCACACGGCCATGAAGAGCGTCGCAACAGCACGAGCCGGCAGGCAGCAAAGGGATGATATCATGGCGCAAACAAGAGAGCGTTGATTTTCACCTTCTCCTAGCTGCTGCTCCTGCTCCTTCTCTTGCTCCTGCTGCTCCTTTTTTTTGCCTCCTCGCATAGTTCATCGCGCAGCTCCTCGCCACCGCCCGCCATCGCATCCCCAGCAACCCAAGCATGTTTCGTGCCCTCTGATGACTGAATTTTGTGACCCGAGCCAGCAATCCGGTGATGATGGTGAACCAGAGGGGCCCGGCCCGGCTCCGACTGGCCGCCGCCGCTGAGGGGTGAGTGCGCAGCACAGCGGCCCGCAGGGTTCAGCCTTCGAGCACTGCGGCTCAGCCTGTCTTTCACGAACGGTCCGATCCGACAGAGCTTCTGAGTCCGGCGCTCGGAGGAGCCCTGTGGACTGACTGACAGTCAGTACCGTCTGCTCACTGGCACAGCGGCGGCGGCTCACTCAGGGCCTTCACGGCGGCCGCCCGGCGCCCGGCCGGGCCGATGACTAGCGGCACTCCGAGGCTCAAGGGACTCCCGGACCTGTGACAGCCCGGTTTCAGTTCAAAATGGCGGGTCCGAGCCGGTGGCTGATGGGGATCGCGATGGTTTGGGGGTCTGGGATGATGAGGATTGAGGGAGGAAGGGAAGGAGGAGAACGAGGAGGGGGAGATCGAGGAGCAGTAGGATGCATGAAGATTTGTCTGGAAGCAAGGGCCTTGCCCTCGACCCTCTGCTTCTCGCAGTTGCGGTTCAAGGATGAACACCAGGGGTGTGAAAATGGAAGCCTGAGGCTCAGAGGAGGAGCAAGAATGGGTCGATCGGGGAAGCAGCAAGCAGCAACGCAGGGCTCTGGTCACCCACAGCAGGAGGTCAAGGTGGAGCAGGGGAGGAGGACCAAGGGGTCAGTTGCTGCACCTCGGGCAATCAAGAAGCCACGGCCGATCACTCCGAGGGCCATGAAGGCGGCGGCGCGGGAGGGGGTGAAGGAGCCGTCCGCGAGGCAGGGAGACAGACTAGACAAGTTTGTGGATGAGGATGAATCAGAAGGAGGAGACAGCCAGGACCTGATGGAGGAGAGCTGGGTGGAGGACGACGACAAAGTGAGCATGGCGGAGAAGGACGAGCTGCTGGACGATGAGAGGTCGGGAGAGTTCTTCGATGATGACATCGAGAGCTCTCAACGTTCAGAAGCAACAGAGGCGAAGGACGAGGACGAGGACGAGGAGGAGGAAGACGAGGGCGAGGGCGAGGGCGAGAACAGCGGAGGGAAGCAGAGCGATCGATCCGTCAAGTCAGAGGATGGATCGGAGTCCGAGGGCTACGACACGGAGGAGATGGAGAAAATGAGGAAGGAGATGACGAGGTAAGTCCGATATGACAGGGGCCCGTTCCTCACTGTGGGTCGGGCAGGGTGGGGATAAAGCTGCCAGCAGAGGAGCTGACGATGCTTTGCGGGGTTTTCTTGACCGGGGCAGGAATGATGAAGGACGAGAAGAAGAGGAGAGAGAAGTACCGAGACTTTCTCGCAGCCTGTGAGGAGAACAAGGTGCTGGTAAGAGCCATCAATGAGACTAGAATCAAAATGGAGCTGCTCCTGTTCGCGCACAAAGAGCGGCTGGTAGAGTATAAGGTGAGGTGGAGGATATGTGAAGGTATCATGTAACGATACACAGTTGGGGGACAAGCTTTCAGCAAGGAGGAAGCACTAGCTCGGGGCGAGTTCACTGTGTACTGATACAAGAAGATGAATACATTTGCTGTCTATAAACAAGGACGAAGGAAAGTTTAGGCGGTCGCCTGGCTCTCCTTGGCGATGGTGCAACGATCCAACAAGTACATGATGCTCTTGAAGTGAGAGCCGGTAGAGTTGGACAGTGAGATCTCGCAAGTCCTCGAGGTCGAGAACCCCTGTAAATCATGTCATCACCACCGTCGAAGGGATAAAACGTGTCAACGCACCTCACTGCAGTTGTCCTTCACCTCGTCCCATGCGATGGTGGTGTTGGGACCAACAGCAGGGTCACGAATCACCATTGCAGCTCCGGGAGGAACCTGTTCAGAAGATCAGAGAGAGAGCAGCAGAGGAGCTGGAGAACAGTATGTACCTTGACAGAGGACTGGACACCTCCTCCAGAGATCTCAGGGAAGCGAAGACCGCGGTCTCCCGCCATACCACAGCAGGGAACGGGGCTCATCGTCACCTCCATAGCGCAAGCACGAGCGATCTGCTCGAAGTACTTGTCCTTCTTCATCTTCTTGCTGCTGCAAGGCACGTGGATCGCAATGCTCTTCTCTCGCTTGGCAACCACCAGGTGCTCCATCAGGTAGTTCGCTGCAAACTCCGTGGGATCGTACATGGCCGACTTGAGCTTTGCATCCTGGAAGGTTTCCTTCATCCTCATCAGGCAAGGGGAGGTATCACACAGGATAGGGATAGCTCCGTTCTCCGATGCTTCGAGGAGAAGAGCTTCGAGATTGTTGCCCTGCTCCTCTCCCTGCTTTGGGTATCCACGTGAATCGAAGATAAGTCCGCAGCAGGCGTTCGACAGTCCCTTGGGCAGGATGACTTCGTAGCCTGCCTTAGCCAAAACACTCATCGTCTTCTCATGGATTGAGGCCTCCTCGAAGTCCCCTCTTGCTGGGCCCATAGTGCGAGAAACGCAGGTGGCAAAGTAGACGACTTTCTTGTTCTGGGCATTAGTCTGCACTGCCGAGGGTGGTGCCTTGATGGGCGAGGCTCCACGAGCAAGGTAGGGGTTCCAATGGAGCCCCACAAGAGGGCCAACAAAGGAGGAAGCCAGGCTCATGACCTTGGTTCCAAGAAGCTTGTGGAACAGATCCACAGTGTTGAGCACGATTGGTACGCCTCCCATCATGAGGCCGAAGTTCTTGGAGGCGATGGTTGCCAGTTGGTTCACATAAGAGTCAGTGTTAGATTCAACACTCTTGGCACGGAGATCCTTGACCATGCGGCCGGTGTTGATGTTAACAGGGCACTTCTCGGCACACATTCCATCTGCGGCGCAGCTGTCGAGTGCAAGGTACTCATAGCTCTTGCGCATCTCCTCAGCTTTGTCAAGGCTCGATGCTGTGTTGAGGGCCTCCAGGCGAGAAATTTCTCTAGTGGCCACAATTCTCTGGCGTGGAGTCAGAGTAACGTGTCCAGAAGGACAAGCTGATTCGCAGAATCCGCATTCCATGCAGGAATCCACGATGCCATGAGCAACAGGGAGGGGCTTCAAATTCTGAGTGTGCACGTTGGGATCCTTGTTCAAAATGACTCCCGGGTTGAGCAAGTCACTGAAGGTCTTCAGGTTAATTGCAAAATCAATTACGATCGAGGGAATCACCTGGGGTCAAAGAGGTTCTTGAGCTTCCACATGACTTCGGTAGCCTTCTTGCCCCATTCCATCTCGACGTAAGGAGCAACATTCCTTCCGGTTCCTGCAACACCTTGTGAGCTCTTAATTTCTACACGAAAGGATTTCAACCATGTTCAGCTTTGAGTGAGCCTTCGAGCGACACAACGAGCTTGCACAGATAGTCCATCATCGCCTCATATCTTTTGACCTCCTCAGGGGTGTCAAAGCCCTGAAAATTTGAAGGTCATGAAACTTCAAACTTGTGCAGGGCGAGAAACCTGAGTGAAAACAAGATGCAAATTTCCTTCAAGAGCGTGGCCAAATGCAGATCCGTCATAGTATTCGAATTTGTTAAACATCTCCTCCAATCCATTGCAGAGCTTGGCCAGGTTCTGGTCGGGATACAAAATTAATTCCAGAACGTGTGACGACATTGATGCTGACCTGAACTGGAACTGCAACATCCTCGAGCAAAACAGAGGTTCCAGCCTCACGCACAGCACCGACCATGGGGATCAACGCCTTACGAGCATCCCAGTACGCAGTGCAAACAGCAGGGTCTCGAGAGAAGTTAATGCCATTGAGCCTAACATGCTGTTTTAGCGAATGTTCAATCAAAGCATGCGCCAGACGTACGTAAGCAGCCCGGCATCGTTGATGGTCTTCTCAGCCTGATTAATACGAGCTTGCATTTCTTCCGCATTGGATCCACGGCATCTTTCAACTGTGGTTAGCATGGAAACCTGTGCGAGAAACAAAACATACTCAACAAGAAGTGCCGTTGCAGTATCGGGAATTCCTCTCAAAAAATGCAGGTGTTCCATGTTCTCACAAGTTCCTTCGAGTGGCAGTCAGAAAAAGATTTGCAAAACAATTTCCTCACTCAAAGATCTTCTATCCATCAACTCCACAGCATCTGTGCATTTTGCCTTTCTGAGCTCCCAAGTTGCGTTGGAGGCATCTTCAACAGTCGGAAACACGATGAACGCTGAGGCCTTGTCCTTATAATCTGGGACAGTGTTGTAGGTTGCACGCGACACAAAACCAAGGGTTCCTTCAGAGCCAACCATCAAGTGCTTGATGATCTCAAGCGGCTCGTCGAAATCCACAAGAGCATTGATGCTGTAGCCGGTGGTGCACTTGATGCTGAACTTCTTCCTTATCAGGGCAGATAGCTCTTCGTCCGCTTTGACTTGTTTCGCAAGTTGCATCACTCCATCGACGATATGCTTGTGCGTTCGCTGAAAGGATGCCCAGCTAACAGAGTCTGCCGTATCAAGAATGGTTCCATCGTGAAACACGATGCGAAGGTCCTTGATGGTGTGGTAGGTATTCTGTGCAACACCGCAGCACATTCCTGAAGAGTTGTTGGCAACGACGCCTCCAATCCAGCATGAGTCGATGGAAGAAGGATCTGGTCCCAGCTTACGTCCATAAGGTGCTAGCATTCTGTTGACTTGCCCGAGGATCCACCCAGGCTCCACAGTGATGTACTTGCCGTCATCCCAGATCTTGCGGTACCGCCAAGTGTGTCCCAATTTCAACAGAATTGAGTCTGTGATGGCTTGTCCTGAAAGCGACGTACCACCAGCACGGAAAGTAACGGGTGTCTTGTTTTTCGCTGCGTACTGAACAAGTTTGATCATTTCAGCCTCATCATGCACCTTGACAACAATCTTGGGGACCAGGCGATAAAAACTCGCATCTGTGCCGTAAGCAAGCGTGCGAACTGGATCAGTAAAAACGCGAGAATCCGGCACAATGTTGCGAATGTCCTCTCTGAACTGCTTGTAGCCACCTTCGAGCGATGCTTCGCCATAAGCTTCCTTCTCCGATAACCTCTTGCTCTGCAACCAAGCACTCCCACTATGTGTGGGAGCGACATGATTGATAATGAAGTCTGGGACAACTCGGGGCTTGGTTGAGGTTGAGGTTGTGTTAAGCACGACCTGTACAGGTTCAGCGTCTGCAGCTGCATGCGCCATTTGCTGTTTGTTCAGATCGCTGCCTGTGGCATGAAGCCGGCGTATAGGGCGCTTGCTAACCGCCCTTGATAGGCTTGGGCGCAATAAACGCTTCATGTTCTCAACCTGTGAAACAAGAAGGTCAGACAACATCAGGCAGTATGTCAACTTCAGATGAATGTGCAAAACTCTCGAAAACTACCAGCACTTGAGCGAGAAGATTTTTACATGTATAGAAATGCCGCTGCTGAAGCCAGAACCTGCTCTCCTTACGAGATCCCTCCCTTACAGATCAATTGAAGATTTAATATGCTGCGAAACGACACTCGAAACTCTGTTCCCAACGTATATATACCATTCTCCATGAAATCCTCAAGAAACTATCAATTGACCCTTGCGTAAATGGAACTGCAATCACCAAGTGACTGTTCTAACTCATCTATCACGCGAAGCTTCTGCCATCTTGTATCTTTCCTTTCCTCCTCTCTTGCTTTTTTCGTCATACACCATGGAACCGCGCCTATGCCACAAACCTTTAGACCCTGAGTGTATATATCCCCACCCACCCCATTGATTGTATACTACCCCCCGAATCTCCACGATGTACCCCTGGAACAACCATCAACACCCACCTGGATTCGCAATGACCCCTTCATTCCCTCCACACGACCCATCCCAGGAGCCTCCGCTCAATACCCACCCACCCTTCTTGATTCAGATGACTCCAATTTCAAAATGAGACTACCCCTCATGTATCCCTTTATTTCACCCCACCCTGTATATCCCACCCCATTTCATTCACGTTTCGACCCCCCATTGCAAGCCTTTGCTCACGACCTCCACCCATCAATGTAGGGTGGTCTACTACCCACCCCTGGTCTAGAAAGGCAATTCATTAACCCTACCCCGTTTTCTAGGCATTTTACGGTTCTTTGTGCCCTATATTACCCCCTCAAAAATTCTACCCCTACCCCTTACATTGATCGAACCCTCAAAATTTCACCTTGATGGATCCCTGGCCGTTCAAATCGTTCCAGGATAATCCGACTACCCCCTCCATTCATCACCCCACCCCCTTCCTGCCGAAATTCCCCAGAATACCACCCACATTTTTTTGCAAAGATTCAAAGACCCCACGGGTTTTAACGCTGATGACTCTACCTTTACCCTATGCTTTGAGCCATTACCGGTCTATTGTACTCAGAAACGCTTTTACAGCCCTGGGTACTTACCCAATGACCTCACACCCCCACCCCTCTCTTTTTGCAACACCCCTAACAAAGCAACTCCTTTGGACCAAAGCACCGATGACTGCCGCAACCCACCCCCATGTGAAATCCTTGTATTTTTACCCACCCCTGTTTCTTCAGATGTTGGTAGGGCTGTAAAATTGTTACCCCTCCAACATCTTGTGGGGTAACCACCCTCACCTCTCCGTCAAGAGGAGTCTGTGACTACACACTAGTACCCCTCATGGACAATACCTACCCGTATAATCTACTATGATAACCCCACTATGGTAAGTCTACTCGCAATTAAAAATTGAACCCATTATTCAACCACCCCCACTAAAAACCTCTTACGCACTACCCCTACCCCTCATTCACGTGTGGGGATTTTACTAGTGGGGGGCTACTTTACAGCTGAAGCGTTCAGGAAAAGGAACGTTTCACACATGTCCGCATACAGTTACATTCCGTTTCCTTGCAACTTTTACGAAACGGACGTTTTGGTCGTTATATCTGCTGCAAGTTGAAACCGCCGCAAGGGAAATTAAACCGTTATCCGTTACCGGCACGTCCAGACGTTGTGATGATCGTTACAGCATGTAACCGAAGGTGCAGCTGCGAGGATCATGCAGCTGAAGAGCAGTGGCAGATCACCAGGAAGGGAGGGCGAGGGCGAGGGCGAGAGCGAGGAGGAGGAGGAGGAGGAGGAGGAGGAGGAGGAGGAGGAGGAGGAGGAGGAGAACGAGAACGAGAACGAGGAGGAGAAAGGGGGTAGAGACAGAGAGCATTATATGGTTCAAGGGGTACAAGGTGATGGAGAAGGTTGGCCGTCTCTAGGGGGGGGGGCGATGACGATGTTGGAAGAGGCAAGATCGAGAGAGTCGGGGGCTGAAGACTGTCGAGGAGCAGAGGAGGTTGAAGAGAGGGGAGACATAGAAAAGGGTGAGAGAGAGAAAGAACGATGATGGAAGAAGGGTGACGGGTCATTCGTGTTCACAAGCAGAGGGATCTAGTGCCTGCATCAAGACTTTCTGGTTTGAGACGTGTTGACTTCTTTTACTAGATGATGGCTCGCTGGGTTCCGTCGCTGCTTGCCAGGTCGCAACTCCTGCAGACAGCAAGGAGAGGAGCACGGGTAGTTCTTTCTTCAGTTCCTCGCCTCCTGCCCCTGACGACTGTCCTTGATACAGGATCTCCACTCAACGTCGGTTCAATCTGTATTAGCTCATCAGCTCAAGTTTGGGGTCTGTAGGGACATGGTGGGAGGAGCGTCTTTGACGTCTGGCTTGCTCAGGTTGCGATGGCTGCTCCCAGGTTCAGGGCATGCCGTGTTCGTTACATGAGCACCGAGGGTGAGAAAGGTCATGCACCTGCTGCGATGAGGAGAGAAACTGACTTCTTCCCTCCAGCCCCCGAGGATCTTCCAGCAGCAGAGTCGGAGGAAGCCCTCTCCGGAGATGCCGAAGGCGTGCCCGCGGCCGCTGCTGATGAGAACGTGCCGCTCAAGGGAACGAGGGCGGTGAGGGGAGGATACTGGTGGAGGAGTCGGAGGATGACGTCTATGGCAGCGACGGCTCACGATCAATCCCTACGTGCCGCACCCGGGACAGACTGAGGTTGGGAGGTTGAGTGGACGGTTCGGTGGTTGGTGACTCGTCGACTTGGCAGCTGCCCAAGACTCCGTTCTTGTCCTCTGAGACGAAAGGGTTGATCTACCGTCTCCATACTGAAGATCCACTGAAGAACTCCGACGAGGCCCTTGCGGAGAGATTCGGAGTGAGTAGAGAGAGAGAGAGAGAGAGAGAGAGAGAGAGAGAGAGAGAGAGAGAGAGAGAGAGAGAGAGAGAGAGAGAGAGTGTTCGCGCTATCATCATGTTGCAGAATCCTGAGCAGAGAGCCCGTATACATCAGCTTCTACGTGCTTCATCATGGTGACTGTCCCTTGTAGAAACGCCAGAGAGTTTCCGGGAGATTGGTCTCGAGCTGCAAAAATTGGCTGAGAGGGCGGTAAGAGCCTGTTGTAGTGGACTATGCAAATGCAAATGTTGCTGATTACAGCTGTGATGATGATGATGATGATTTTGCTGATAACGATGATTGTATGAATTGCGGTGATGATGATCATGATGATGATATTGGTGATGATGATTTTGCTGATGACCATTATAATTATGATTGTGATGATTATGACAATGACTGCTGTACTTATGACGAAGATTATAATTACAATTGCGACATTGATGATATTTATGACGGTGACTGCAGCATGGAGTTGTGAACTCAGGATATAGTTCTCCGCTCTACAGGCCTGATGTAAGCTCTCCCCACCATCCTGCTTCTCCTTTTTCCAGACACGCACTCTCATCTTCTTCCCAAGTCACTCGTTGTTGTCTGCCTCCTTCCCAGCCTTAACCTCTTCTATTTCCACCTCTCTTCTTCTATAATCTTCACCTTTATTGTAGTCCTTATCTCCTCCAGTTTTCCTCGTCTGCGTCCTCCCCCCTTCCTCCTCCTCCTCATGCCATCATTGACCTGACTGTCTTGCTCCAGCGAGAGGGCTTCAGAGGAGTGAGGGCAGAGATCCAAGAGAAGGGCATGAAAGCTCGTCCCTTTCCTTCCTTCAAGGATGCGGATCCCATCAAGTACGACTCGCTCTCTCTGTCCCTCCTCCCCCTTCCTCTGACTTCTACTCTCTGTCTCTCCTTTTCTTCGGACGCGTTCTCCGGCGCGTCCGATGTTTTCGTTGTCCCCTCCTCTTCTGATTTGCTGCGTGCAGGGCTCGCAACATTGTCGCATTCTACGAGAAGAAATACGATGGAGTAATCTCCCGCCTCCCCCCCCACCCCCCCACCCCTCCTTCCTCCTCACCTCCCACCCTCCTTCCCCACCCTCTTCCCCTTACCCCACTCTATCCTCCGCCTCCCCTTCCCGCCTGACCTTGTTCTCTTCTCCTCTCTTTCTCCTCTTTCCTCTCCTTTCCTCTCCTCCCAAGTTCTCTTGCCTCTCTGCTCCCTCCCCTCTCCTTCTGTCAGCTTCTGGTCCTCTTGTTCTCTCAAACGCTGATGGCTGCCCCAGGCCAACTTCCAGAATCCCGTGGCTAGAGAGGAGCGTCGTCTCCAGAAAGCTGCAGCGGCTAAGGTCGACTTCACGCCCCTAGAGCAGGTAAGGAGGGACGGCGTGGAGGGGGGGAGGAGAGGAGGAGGAGGAGATGGTGATGTTGAGAGAGTGAAGAGGCTAAACGTTTGTTGAACAGAGACATGGCATTCGTCCATCGATGAGCAAACGCTTTGAATACATCTTTGCTGACATTAGCAAAGGTTCATTTCTTCCCTCTCCCACTCTACCTCTCCTTCCTCCCCCCCCCCCTCCTCCTCCTCCTCCTCCTCTTTGACTGGTTCCTGGCAGGAGTAACGGGGGAGCAGCGACTTGTGCTCACCCGCGGGAAGGACGGTTCCCTCAAGGCAGCCTCCCATGAACAGAGGTATCAGACTTCTCCTCTACCTCCTTCCTTGTCTTCTCCTACCGCCTCCCTTGTCTCCTCCTCCCGTACCTTCTTTCTTCTCTTCCCGCCCTCCTCTCCCTCCGCCCTCCTCCTCTCCTTCTCCCCGACCTCCCCTGCGTCTCTTTTGCGTCTCTTGCCTCCAACTTCCACTCGACTTATCCTCGTTGCAGGTACAGAGTTGAGCGACGTGTTGCTCCTCCCAGGCACCCCCGCACTTAAGATCATCCTATCCTCCTCTTCCCCTCCCTCCGTCTGCTTCCTCTTCATCCTTGGACTTTGCTCCATCTCAGCCTCAAGTACACGAGAAGAATCTACCTTCTCCTCCTCCTCCTCCTCTGGCACTCACTCCTACACAGTTGTTCCCACGTCGCACTTTCTCCATCATTACCTCCTTAGCTTCCTTTACTGCGCCCGTCCTGTGTCGGAGCTTCCTCCCCCTCCTGCTCCTCCTGCTCTCCCTCCCTCACCCTGCTCTTCCTCCTCTCCCTCACGCTCTCCCACAGCCTTGGAAAAGTGTCGGCTCCACTCCTCCGCGATCTTGGGCCACGAGTACCTCTCCCTCGCGCTCCTCTTCATCCTCCTCCTGTGCTCCTCCAGCTCCTCCCGCGGCGTCGCCACCGCCCGAGCAACCGCGTCCGCCCACAGCAGCAGCAAGGTTCTGTTCTGCTTGATGCTGACGTGGCTCCCGGGCTCCGGGCCCAGGTCGAACTCCCCGGTGGTCTCCGGGATGGCACTCAGTGGGTAGCGAGAGGTGACGGGGACGCAGCCGTTGGCCTGCGCCTTGATCAGGTTGATAGGAGCCGTCTCAGGCGTGTCTGTAGGGTACACGTAGAAGCCCGCCTCAGCGTACGCGTCCGCCATGTCCTGGTGCCCGACGCCGCCCATGTACTTGACGCCCTCCTGCCGCAACATGTCCTCCATCTTCCTCCTCCACTCGATGAACCAGCGCTCGTGCTTGTACAGCGGGGTTGCCCACCACATGTCAAACCCGTAGTACACGTACAGCTCCCCTCCCCCTGCCTTGTGGCGGATCCGCGGCCACAGCTCCAGGAGCTGCTCGAGGCCCGAGGACGGCCAGGAGCTGTAGAGGAGCTTGTGGTGATGGTTGGGCCCGTCCCGCAGCAGGTGAGGAGCAAGGCCGTTGTTGCTCAGGATCAGCTTGCTCTGGGCGTGCGGGGGGAACTGAGAGGCGCTGTGCTGGCTGAGGACGAAGATGCCGCTGAGCGCTCCAAGGAAGGTGGAGGTGAAGTAGTCCTGGTCGGACGCCAGCGCCAGCGGGTCGTGGACCCAGAGGAAGCGAGAGCGAGTGCGAGGAGCGAGCCAGACGGCGTCGAAGTTCCTCCACACCACGAAGACGCTCGGCTCTTGCAGCATGTCCAGAGTGTAGAAGGGCAGCCACGTCACTCCATCCTCGTCCCTTCCCCACTCCTCCACCTCCGGGTTCCCGTACACCCTCACGCACCATCCCTTCCTTGCCAGCTCCCGCACCAGGTAGATCGCTGCCTCCTCCGACCCTCCGACTCCGCGCTGGGTCGACGAGGGGCCCCACCGCTGATCCGCCGTCCCTGGCGTCTGCCCACGGATCCGGCAGAAGAAATGGACGCGCCTGCTGCTGTTGCTGCTGCATGCTGGGAACGCACCCTCCTCCCTCCTGATGTGCTCGTCAAGCTGCTTGAGGCGGGAGCTCCGCGTCTCCTCCTTGCGGGAGAGCCGCTGATACCGCTGGTGAAGCGCTTTCTGGAGGGAGGGATCAACTGTGTGGATGAGGGGGAGGAAGAAGGGGAGGTGGAGATGCTGGAGGGGAGAAAATGAGGGAGGGGAGATGGATGACAAGAAGGAGGAGGATCAGAAGGACAACAAGGAGCTGAGAACTCGAGGAGAGGGGGAGGAGCTTGGGGGGCGGGGAAGCGAAAAGAAGGGAAGGTGACGGAGGAGAATAAGGAGGACAAAACAAAGGACGAGGAGGACGAGGGAGAGGAGGCGAAGGACGAGGCAGAGGAGAAGGCAGAGGAGGAGGAGAATAGGAGAGGAGGAGGGGGAGGCAGAGGATGAGGAGAAGAGAGGACAAAGACGAGGACTAGAAGGAGAAGGCAGGGGAGGACGAGGAGAACGAACAGAATTCACCTGAATGATTACGCGTGCATCCTCGGGGTAAGCAAATGTGCCCATGGTCCCTGAAATCTGAGGAACCGTTGAGACAGAGAGGACGAGAGAGGCGACAGGAGACAGGAGACAGGAAAGAGGAGAGAGGAAGCTGAGGAGGAGGTGATGGTGGTGGAGGAGGAGGAGGAGGTGGTGGAGGAGGTGGAGGAGGTGGAGGAGGTAGAAGTGAGAACCTGAGAGGTCACCAGCTCGGGCTCTAGGTTGACTGCTTCAGAGTACAGCCTGGTAAGTGTAAGAGAGGAGGAGGGAGGAAAGGACGTCTCGACCTCGTAAAGTCCGCACCCTCCTCCTGGGAAAGGTGCTGGGCTGCTGCAAGGTCATGCCGTGTGACAGCCACGGACAAGACATCCCCTAAGCCGAAGTGAAGCGCTTTCTCGTACCTGAGGGGGAGGGAGAGGAGGAGAGGGGGAACGAGGGGAGGAAGGGTGAAAGATGATAGGTAGAGAAGAAGGGAGGCAAGAAGATCAGGAAGAAGGGGATGGGAGGAAAGGAGAGACGCGTAGAATGGAGGAAGAGTAGGAAACGGAGGTGTTAGCAGTCTGCATCATCATAAAGTAGAGCATGTCTTACTCAACTGCTGCAGCCTTGTAGTCCCTGTCCTTGAACAACACGTCTCCCCTCGTCCTATAGCACCAACCCGTGCACGTTCCTGCCTCCACCAGCTTGCTCAGCCCCACTCCCCATGCTTCCCTCCCGGCTCCTCCATCCTCATGCCCTCCTGGCCTCCCATCCTCCTCGTCCGCCGCATGCAGCGCAGCAGAGAGGGTCTTCCATGTCTCCTCCTTGGCAGGCTTCGACAGCATCAGGGCCAGCCTCGCCTCCCTCAGCTGCGCCCAGCATGCTCGCTGCCGCTCTCGCACGCTCCCACGGGCAGGAGAAGAGCGATCAGCATGCGTTCTCCACTCCCTGTAGCACCGCAACGCCCCCGACCTGCTCCCTGTCAGTCGGCGGTCGTTCCATCCCCGTCACCCTTACCAGTCTTTCTCACGGTAGAGCAAGTCGCAACCCTCGAGTGAAGCAGTCTCAGTCCTCCTCGCAGACGATGCTGGAGCCGAGCTGGGCTTCTCCTCCCCTCCGCTCGTTGGGGGGAGCAAGAACTCGATATCATACAGCCTTACTCTCTCAGCACAACTAGCTCCGTATCTGTTTCCTCGCACGAGGATCCCTCCCACTTGATCCATGAAGACCTTGACGTCGCTAGCTCCCATCTTCTCGCCGCTCTCCACATTCTGCAGCAGCCAACCCTCGTCATCACTCCTCCTCCCTCCTGGCAGAGCAGGACCTCCCATGCAATGCTTGAGTTCAGCCACCATGTGTAGCTCTGAGTGCTTTCATGGATGGGCTGGCTGGATCGAGCTCCCATGGCGGCGACTCCTCCATCACCTGAGCATCTTCATCAACAGAACAACAAACTGAGCATGACGCTGACGACTCGCCTCCTCTTGAACGGAAGAGGACAACTTCGTATAAGTCCGACAGGTCGCAACGATGGCCGGAGGCGTCGGAGGCGATAGGAGCATAAAACTTGTTGTAACTCAATCGAGCCCCCAAGAGAGAGGATGCAGAAGCAATCAAAGTCGTCTGCAGGACGAGTCATCTCAACTTGTCTCGTCTGCTCCTCCTTCCTCTACAGGAGCAACGAAATGCCACGAGTGCGGGTGACTTGAGTTCTCCACGAGCACTCCATGATGGCTGATGCCTCTTGCGCTCAAGGTTCAGACGATTCCTGCATGAGAGCAAGAAGAAGGATACACTCACTTCAGCGGAGGGCCAGTCGAGCTCCACCCGTCCAAGGAAGTGTCGTCAGCGATCGCAGGGTCCTGCTTCCTGAGCCGTCAGCGCTGATCCCGACGTGCCGTTGTCAGCCTACCGAACCTCTCCCTGCACCAGCTCGAGCATGGCAGGAGCTTGTCACGAGCACGAGGAGCCTCAGCAGACATCTGACACCCTTCGTGAGCTGCAACCAGCTCCATCCCAGCTCCACCCCACCTGCCCGCCATGCCATGCCTCGGTACTGCCGGTGTATCCCTCTTCCCCCCTCAACCCCAACCTTTCGTAAGCCCCTCATTCAGCCCTCAATACATCCTCCGGTGACAGTGACCAACTCCCCGCTCAACCCCAATCTCATCGCCCTCATTCCATGACGGGGTCCCCTTTTTCGCTGGTAGCAACCACCCCACCCCTTGAAGGACCAGTCATGTAGGTGGGGCGCTTCTCGACCACCCTACCTTACTCCCCGAGTGACTCGAAATCCTTCCGGTCTCAAACCACCCCTGTATCCCACTCTTTTCAAGGACAATGAAGGGGTCACCTTGATGTTACAGTTGAGACACCACCCCTTGTATCGGGCAGGTACCCGGTCCTTCTCCACTGCTCTCTCAATAAGTTTTGCCGTTACAGTGGTGGACCCCCTGCTATCAGTAGGCCGATCCTACCCTACCCCTTCTACCAAAACAACTTTCATTAGATGTACCCGTGTCTTTTCCCACAAATTTGCCTTGATTGTACCGGTACTTGCGAGACCCTTCTCTCAACACTCAACGGACTCGATTACCCTGGATACTATGCCTGGGGTATCACCCACCTGTACATTGTCATGGGATTCTCTCTAAAAAGTACCGGTAGAAGCAGAAGGTGAAGGACCCCCCACCAGGGCTGGAATGGGGTTATTGATCCATATGTATCCCTGCACTCCTCTGCATGGCTCGACGATCGCTCCCTGCCAGCATCTCTTCTCCTCGTTTTCTCTCCCCTCCTCCTCAGATAATGCACTCCCTCTCAGACCCACACCACTCTCTTTCCTCTTCCTCCCCCTACCTCTCTCCATCTTGCATGCGTGCGAGTGTCTCAGAACTCGATACTCTCGGCTCCTCTGTGACTTGCTGCAATCCAAGAAAGAGGGACCCACTCTCCCTTGACTTGGTTCCTTCCTGAACCATCCCATTCTTCCACGTCTCTCAATCTCTCGTAACCCTCATCCTGACCGTAGAGCTGCGAAACCTTTCCAAACCGTTCGTCCCTTTCGCTTGACACTTGTACAGATGAACACTATGTATCAGCCGGTCGCAGTTCAGCAGATGCAGCCTCCCATGCAGACCATGTTCGTTCCGGTGAGAGGCAGACGGCTGGTTAACCTTGTTGACAAGATGTCAGGCGATGCAGCCGCAGCCGCAGATGATGGTGACAATGCAGTCCCCTCCTCCTCCTCCTCCTCCTCCTCAAGCTCCTGCTCCGATGTACTCTACCCAGGTGAAAGATCGACTTGCAGTCTGGCACAGCCGATGAAGTTGTCGATCTGCAGGCTTTCCAGATGCCTAAGGGATTCAAACCCGGAAAGCTCAGTGCCGAAGAGCAGAAGGCCCAGGAGAGGATCAAGGAAGCCAAGCAGCAGCAGCAGCAGAGGATGCAGCAGCAGCAGCGCCAGCAGCAGCAGATGCAGCAGCAGCAGCAGCAGCAGCAGAGGATGCAGCAGCAACAGCAGCAGCAGCAGATGATGATGCTCCAGCAGCAGCCTCAGTACCTGCAAACCCAGCAAGTTGTACAGGCGGCACCTCAAGTTCAGTATGTCACCTCTACTTCTGCCATGCCCCAGCAGGTAAGAAGGTGCTGGACAAAAGCTGGGCATATCTGACCGAGCCTTGCAGTACGTTCAGTCGTATGTTGAGGTGGCACAACCTCAGTACCAGGTTGTGCAGGAACCGGCAGTGCAGTACGTGCAGCAGGCCCCAGTCACTCAGTACGTGCAGAGCACAACTCCCGTGCAGTATGTCCAGCAGTCAGCTCCGATGCAGCAGTTCGAACAGAGCTATGCCTATGTTGTGAGTCGTCCTTTCTCTCTCTCTCTCTCCATGGTGAGCTTGACTGGTGCCGCGGCAGCAGCAGCAGCCCCAGCAGCAGTACGTGTACGCTCAGCAGGCCCCCGTGACTCAGGTAAGCGTCCCCTCAATGCAGACGCATCATCTGACACTTGACCCAGTACGTGGTCCAACAACCTGTCTATGAGCAGCAGTACATCGCACAGGAATCGCAGCCCCCCAACCAGGTTGTCCCGTCCACCTCCCGCCTTGATCCTCTGACCCGCTTCTAGGGCTATTCGTATGGGTACCAGCAGCAGCAGGTGCTCAGCGTCTTCTGACTTGTGTCTGGTGCCTGACTGTGCTGTTTCAGTATCAGGTGCAGGAGCAGTATGCTCAACCCAACGCCTGGAGCGCTCCTCCCTCCCAGCAATTCCCCGGTCAGCCTCCCATGGGAGAGTATGGAACGCAGATGTGAAGTGTAAGATTGATTGGACATGTATTGAATAAATATGAGAAATCTCCGTGTTGTAATCAGAGCAATGACAGAGTTTCTCTGTGCGACGTAGAGCTGGAGAGACTGGTCAAGAAACAAGTCAAGGAGCACCACATTCAACCTCTGCAGGACCAGCTCCTGAAAGCGACCGGAAGGATGCTGCTGCGGGGGAGGTACGTGCGGAGCTCTGTCAAGAGGAGGGTGAACAAGCGGAGAGGTCAAAGTTGACTCACGTCGCTGTGAGCATGTTGTCTCTGTCAATGTCAGGATGTCAGTCTCCTTCGCCTCCTCCTCCTGCCTCTCCTTACCGCTCCATCTTGTGAATGTGATAGTAGAGGGCCTTCAACACCGTAAGGACAAGAATCTCACTCCTCCTCCTCCTCCTGCTCCTGCTCCTGCTCCTGCTCCTGCTCCTGCTCCTGCTCCTGCTCCTGCTCCTGCTCCTGCTCCTGCTCCTGCTCCTGCTCCTGCTCCTCCTCCTCGTCTTCTTCTTTCTCCTCCTCCTCCTCCTCCTCCTCCTCGTCTTCTTCTTTCTCCTCCAACTCTTCTCCTCTGTACCTCCTTCGTGCCGAAGCCCATACCACACTCGCACTCAAATGGTGACCATCCAACACGCTGAGGAAAAGCGAGGCAGAAGAGGGGGGAAGGGCAAGAACAAGGAGGACGGGAGGAGGGAGGAGGGCAAGGACGAGGAGAGCGATTGAGGAGGAGGAGGAGCAAGAGGAGCAACGGGAGAGTCGTCAGTTGCGATAGGTGATCAAAGGATTTTGTCACCTCGTATCGTTCCTTATGCATCGGATTTGATGCTCCTCCCACTACATTGTTACCTTCTCCCTCTACTCCTCCTCTTCCTACTGCTACCCCTTCCCCCCCCCTCCAACTGCTCTTGGTGCTGCTGCTCCTTCTCCCGATCCTTGTGCTGCTGCTGCTGCTGCTGCTGCTGCTGCTGCTGCTGCTACGCCTGCTCCTGCTCCTTCTCTTGCTAGGCCTCCTGCTGCTGCTGCTCTTTCTGCACCTCCCACTACTCCTGCTGCTCCTGTGCTGACTGCTTGGCCCATAACGTCGCCTTCCCCTTCTACTGCCCCTGCTGCCCCTCTGATGTGCGCTGCTGCCCAGGCCCCTCCAGCTCTTGCCGGAAGTGCTGCTGCAGAAAAGTCTTCTACACCTTCTCTCTCCCCTCCCCTCCACATTGCCTCGCGCCCGTAGGCTGCTGCTGTCTCCTTCCTTTCACTCCTCCGAGGGACCATGAGCTCGGTGGATTTGTCTTGCTTTGCCGGTCCTGTATCAGAAACTCTTGTGCTGTAGCTGTTCCTCACTTGCTGAACTACCGTGAACTGCTGGAAGCCGCTGTAGCCCGTCCTGTTGTCCTGCTCCTCCTCCTGTGCTAGCTCGAGCTCTTTAATCTTTAGCTCCCTCAGAAGCTCCTCCTTCTTCGTCTGCTCCCTGTCCTTCCTGGGGTGCGGTTGTGTGAGAGGTGGAATAGTAACGGAGGAGACACCTTTGCATCTCGACTGACACGCGGAGGTGCTCCGATGCTGTTTGAAACCTTGGAGGTGATGTAAGAGGAAGAGGAAGAGGAGGAGGAGGGCGAGGGCGAGGAGTGCGGATAGGGAGGAGAGATGTGCTTGAAGAGGTCGAGGTCGAGGTTGTGGAGGACAAGGGAGAGGAAGTTGAAGCAGGAGCACGAGGAGGAGAGGTGATGAGACGAGGAAGATCAACGGCCACCAGAGCTCGTTCTCTTGCTGAATGTTCCTCTCCGCTTCGAGTTGCCTCCTCTCTGCTTCAACGATGATCGACTTGCATGCAACCTCGGTCTCGATCCTGAAGGACGAGCAGAAGAACGAGAGGTGAGAAAATTAGGAGGTGTAGGAGCTGGAGGACATACAGGACCAGAGCAGAGCAGAGCAGAGCAGAGCAGAGCAGAGCAGAGCAGAGCAGAGCAGAGCAGAGCAGAGCAGAGCAGAGCAGAGCCGAGCCGAGCAGAGCAGAGCCGAGCCGAGCCGAGCAGAGCCGAGCAGAGCAGAGCGGAGCGGAGCAGAGCGGAGCAGAGCAGAGCAGAGCAGAGCAGAGCAGAGCAGAGCAGAGCAGAGCAGAGCAGAGCAGAGCAGAGCAGAGCAGAGCAGAGCAGAGCAAAGCAGAGCAGAGCAGAGCAGAGCAGAGCAGAGCAGAGCAAAGCAGAGGTTTCACTTTGAACAGCGCATGCTTGACATACTTGAACAATTCGTTGAGAGCTTGCAGCCTATGAGTTTTGATCTCGTTCAAAGTCTCTTGGTGAAATTTCTTTCCATCCCTGATGACTTCCTCGATCCTCTTCAGCGCTCGGAGATTGTCGGCCGCCCTCCGATCTCGCTCCCACTCCTTCTCTCCTGCTCAACAGGTGAACCCGATGGGGAGGACGAGGAGGAGGATAGCAAGGATGAAGGGGAGGAGAAGAAGGAAGAAGAGGAGGAGGAAGGGGAGGGGAGGACGAGGAGGAGGACGACGACGATGAAGGAGACTAGCAGAACACGTGAGGTCATCACATCCAGGTTTACCATGAGCACTGACGTCCATCCTGTCCTTGCTCGTGAACGCAGCAAGCGTCTGTGCTATCGCCATCCTTTTCGCTCTCTCCTCCTCCAGCAGTGCCTGCCCCCATGTCAGAGGAAGCGACAGCATGCGGCCAGCAGGACCAGGGTCGTGCTCAGCCGCTGCTTCAACTCCTCCACCCCGTCGTTGTCATCGAGCCGCACCATCCTCTGCTCTGAAAAACTCGCCCTGATTGCATGAAGCTGCTCTTCCAAACCTGACAAGCGCATGCTCGCCGCGTTCAGCTCGGCTGCCGCCAACAAGTCAAGGGATACGGAGGACGTGAGGAGGAGGGAGGGAGAGGGAGGCGAGCGAGGGAGAAGGGCAAGAGGAGGAAGCATAGGTAAACATGGGAGACGGAGAACTTCAGAATTGGAGGACGAGGACACTGAGGATAAGAGCAGGAGGAGGAGGAGGAGGAGGACGACGACGACGAGCAGGAGGAGGACAAGGAGGACGACGACGACGAGCAGGAGGAGGACACAGAGGGTGTTTTGAGGGCAGGGCCAAGAGCAAGAGAAGGACTTGACGAACCATCCTTGACTTTCACCATCCTCCAACTCTCTTCCAGCTCCTTTTGCATCCGCAAGACTTCATTCCGCAGTGACGATTCTCTGTGATTGCATTGAGAATATCCTCCTGCTCCTCCTGCTCCTGCTCCTGCTCCTGCTCCTGCTCCTCCTCTCCCTCTCCCTTTCCCTTTCCATCTCCTCTCCTCTCCTCTCCTCTCCCTACCCCCCTCTACCCTGCCCTTCATTTATATCCATCCTCTGATTCCTATCCCTTCCTAACTCCCTCTCTTCTTCTCCTTTCTTCCCTCCTTTGCTCTTGGCGTACCCGTCATGCTCGGAAGGTCGCCATGCAGAACTTGCGAAAGAGCCCTGGAGACGAGCAGGAGAGAAGAGGAGAGGAGAGGAGAGTGAGATCAAGCAAGAACGGATACATCAAAAGTAATATCGGGAGCTAGAGGAGGAGGAGAGGAGAGGCAGGAGCATAGAGACAGGACGAGCTCAAACAAGAGTAGCAGCAGCAGCAGCAGCAGCAGCAGCAGCAGCAGCATGAGAGCAGTAAGGTAGATGAAGAGCAGCAGAGGCAGACCATGTATTCATCGCTGTCCGGGAAATTTGCTGCTGCCGAGATGATTGAGCAACACGAAGACAGGTTCAACTCTCACCTTCTGATCGGCTGTAGGACCTGACAGCAAGAAAACGAGCAACAGAAGGAGAGGAGGAGAGGAGAGGAGGTGGTAGCGGTGGTGGAGACGAGGAGAACGAGGAGGAGGACGATGGGGCGCAGAAGAGGACGAGGAGGAAGACGAGAAAGGTCAGAGGATGAGCGAAGAAAATCAAGGGAAGAAGGATAGACAGGAGGCATGTACCTTGACTTGAGTCGCTCCTCAAGGTCGGTCAACTTCCGTCGCAGTTGGATCGCGATGCTCTCGAGCCCCTCCTTCTCCTTCTCTGCGCGAGAGAGAGACAGTTGCAACCTCATGACGTGATCTGCGACTTGTTGAGAGCTCAACCCCTTGCTCTGCTCTGCTCTGCTCTGCTCTGCTCTGCTCTGCTCTGCTCTGCTCTGCTCTGCTCTGCTCTGCTCTGCTCTGCTCTGCTCTGCTCTGCTCTGCTCTGCTCTGCTCTGCTCTGCTTTGCTCTGCTCTGCTCTGCTCTTTTCCTCACCCCCACACTCTCTCCACTTACACTTCATCTCCCTCCCTCCCCCTTGTCTCCCCCTCTCCCCCTCACGTCCTCCCCTCCCCTCCCACCTACCTTTGAGCTCTTGGACGTCGTGCGGTACGGGAACTTCCTTCTCTTCCTCCTCCAGCTGTTCGTTGACTCGATGGAACACGACTGCATGCTCTCGAGCAGTCGACAACCTTTGAAACAGCTCCGAGAGACGGCGGTGGAGGGCGACGTTTTCTTGCTTGAGAGCGTCGAACTGCAACCAGAACAGAATGAATGGCAGATGATGATGATGATGATGATGATGATGATGATGATGATGATGATGATGATGATGATGATGATGATGATGATGATGATTGATGGAAACGATGATGGGGAAGGAGAAAAAGACAGGGACAAGGACAAGGACAAGGACAGGGACAAGGTATTGATGTGGTAGTGGAGGAGAAGGTCATTCTGACATCTATTTCCAGCAGTTGCTTCTCGTTATCCAACAAGGCGATGTTTTCCCTCAATCCTGAAACAAAATGATCAAACAATCGTCATCGTATTTAAAGAATTGACGAAGACAATAATCATGAAAGTGAAAGAACTTGTTCGTCAAGATATACATCTTCGTTCCTCACCTTCCAACTCCTTCTTCTCCTCATTCAGCTTTCTGACTTTCTCAACACAAAGCTTCAGGTCACCCTTTAGCTCCTCCATCTGATCTGCTGCAAAGTCAACGCAAGAGACAACTAGACTAGACAAGACAAGACAAGACACGACACGACAAGACAAGACAAGACACGACAAGACACGACACGACAAGACAAGACAAGACAAGACACGACACGACAAGACAAGACAAGACAAGACAAGACAAGACAAAACACGACAAGACAAGACAAGACAAGACAAGACAAGACAAGACAAGACAAGACAAGACAAGACAAGACAAGACAAGACAAGACAAGACAAAACACGACAAGACAAGACAAGACAAGACAAGACAAGACAAGACAAGACAAGACAAGACAAGACAAGACAAGACAAGACAAGACAAGACAAGCTATGTGAGTAAGCAAGCATCTTCGTCATCTACTAGCATCTCACGTGACCGTCAAGTCTCGCAGCCTCTACCTCGGAGTCGACGATTCTCGTCCTCGGCCTCGTCGGCGTATTTTTGCAGCTCTTGCAGTTGTTGAGAGGTTTCTTTTCCCACCTCCTCTGCCTTGCGCAACCATTCCATCTGACGAGTGACTTCTTCGAGCTGTCACAAGATACGTAAGATCAAATTGATATTATCATCATCGCTATCATCGCTATCATGATCAACATCATCAACATCGTCAACATCATCATCATCACCACCACCACCACCACCACCACCACCACCACCACCACCACCACCACCACCAGCATCATTCACCTTCGCCTTCAAACTGTCACTGTCTTGCGCTTTCGTCTCCATCTCTGTCTCCCACAACTTGAACCGGTCAATCATCTCATTTCTCATCACTTTAAGCTTGTCAGCAAGCGACTCCTTCTCCTGCTTCACTGCCATCAGAGCTTTTGCCGTCTTTCCAAGATCCTCCTGCATCGACATGTGTTTGTCCTCCAGCTTCGCGTACATGTCGGCGGTCTCCTTCAGCTGGATCTCAAGGGATCGGATGTGTTGTCTATCCGCCATCTCTCTGTCCTGACTGTTCTGTTCCATGGTCATGAAGTCGTTCTCCAACGACTTGCACCGAGCCGTCAACTCCTCCATTCTCCTCGTCATCTCCTCTATCGTCATCGCCTTGTCTGTCGCTGTCCGTAGGGCTGCGTCCAGCTGAGCTTGGAGAGAGTCTCTCTCCCCTAGGATGTCCTTCAGCTCAGACTCGAACAAGCTACCATGCTCTTCTACCAGCTCCCTTCTCTCCTCCAACAGCTTCCTGTTCTCCTCCGCCAGACGTTTGTTCTCTGTCTCTGCCTGCCCCAGCATCGCTTTCGTGTCATGCAGCGTTCTCTGCAGCCCCACCAGGTCCTTCACCAGCGCTGTCTTGACCTCAAGCTCGGCCTTGTACTTCTGCTCCCAACCCCTCTCAACCTGCTTCTCGGAGCCGTCGACGAGGACACTCAGTTTCTCTGTCAGTCTCCTGTTCTCCTCCTTCAGCCCTTCCATGTCCTCGACCAGCTTTGAGAGCGTGGGATCGTAAGTCTTCAACGCTCTGCTGTCCTTGGTGGCCCCTGCTCCACTCGTTTGCTCCTCCCCCACCACTGGAGGCTCGTTCATGCCGACCAAGGACGAGATCATATCTCGCATGTGCCCGTCGTCACTCTCGTGAGAGCTGAAGAAGGAGCTCGTGACGTCAGCTGCGTCCTCCTCCTCCTCCTCCTCCTGTGAGCTCCGCCAGCGACCCCCTGCCCCTCCCGCATATTGAACCATCATGATTCGCCTGCTGAGATCGGCAGGACTTGACGTTTTTGTTTCCTTGACCTTTTTCTTTTATTTTACAGATAAAAAAATAAGTAACTGAACATGCGGGGCCCGGCAGCGACAAACGGCCCAGCTGGGCCGCAAAGATGTATACTGTGAGCTCGAGTTGTGCTGGGCAAAGAGGCGGAAAAGACTGGCGGGGCAACTTTCAAGGCAGCTCGTCGACTTCAATGCCAGCGTTGGAGATAGATGACAACCTGCGCTTGAAGGACATCTGCGAAAACTCCAGCAGCCGCTTCTCCCACAGCCTCCCAGTGTCCAGCCTCTCCAGGAGAATATTGCGCGTGCTCTTCCTTCTCATGTTCCTGCCGTGCCAGACGTCATTCAGGAAGTGACTGGGAGGAGCCCTGCGGAGCAGAGGCAGGTAGAGGAGTGAGATGTAGAGCAGCAGCAGCAGCAGCAGCAGCAGCAGCAGCAGCAGCAGCAGCAGCAGCAGCAGCAGCAGCAGCAGCAGCAGCAGCAGCAGCAGCAGCAGCAGCAGCAGCAGCAGCAGCAGCAGCAGCAGCAGTTGATGGAGAGTTGGGGGCAGGGAAGGCAGGAGGTGAAGGAGCTGGAGGGAGTGAGAGCAGGAAGCGAGGAGGAGGGATCGACGTGTTCACGTCCTCTCAACCTGATGTCATTATCCCAATTCTGGGTCTTGCTAATAAGGCTGCTCCTCCTCCTCAGCATCTTGTGGTGGTCGAAAGGAAGCGTCCGCTGCCTCGGCCCCCCATCAGTTCCTGCGGCGATGATCTTCTTGTCGTCGTAGCCCTCCCAGATCCTCCCAGCTCCTGGTCAGACGTGAGCGGATCGTGCTGGCGTCACTTGTCAGACCTCTCAGGTCCACGAACGCGTCTCGGATGTTCTCCATGCGCGTCAGGAGCTCGTGCTTGAGGGTGGCGATCCCGTGCTCGGGGTCCTCGAGATGGACGACTCGGTCGAGCTCCCTCTACTCAGGAAGAGGAGGAAGCGAGGAAATCAGAAGCTGGCAAGGGGGAGAAAGGAGAGGCTGAGCGATGCGAGGATCGGGGATCAGGCGAAGATTGATGAGAGGAAGAGGGAGGAGGACAAGAAGGGCAGCAGGAGACGAAGGTGGCAGGAAGGAAGGTGGTTGAGGGGAGGTGAGAAGCAGCGGGGATCAGAGGAGAGGCGGGGAGGAAGGAGCAGGAAAAAGACAAGGAGGACGAGTACGGAGGGGAGGCGAGGGTAGTGACCTGCAAACGGTCTTGGAGTACTCCTCGGATCCGGAGGGACTCGGAGTTGTCGCCAAGGCTGGTCCTCAGCGTCGTCGACTCCACCAGCCTCACGAGGTTCAGCACTCTCGTCCTCATGATGCTGGACGGGAGCTGGAAGTTCGTGCTGCTGGGCTGCTGGTGGGGCCTGCCGTGATGGTGGTGGTGGTGGTGGTGGTGGTGGTGGTGAATTCTGTGCCATGCGATCTCACTTATCTTCTCCCAGTACTTCACGACTCGCTGCCTCGCCTCCTCCAGGACGCTCAGCAGGAACCTTCTGCTCCGCTCTGGCGCAAGTTTGCGGGCAGCTCGGAAGGAGGCGACCAACATCCCCAAGATAATCGGCCTCAAGACAAGCTGGAGGAGGAAGAGGCAGCAGGCGAGGAGGGAGGCGTCGCTGCTGAGGAGGATCCTGCTGGTCTGGAGAGAAGGAGAGACGAGAAGCTTGAGGATGAACATGAAGGATGAGCTATGCTGCCTGAGCTCTTCCAGCTGCTCTCCCAACAAGACCCTACCAATAAGTTCATTTCTCCTCCTCCCACTTTCCCCCCCTCCTTCCTCCTTGTCCTCCTGCTCCTTCCACTCTTCTTCCTCTTCCTCCCTATTCTTTCTCTCTCCCCTTCCTCGTTTTCCCGCTCCTCCCTCCTTCCCCCCCCCCTCCTTCCTCCTTGTCCTCCT